AAGGAAAATTCAAAACGGGAAGTCCTTTATTAAATGGCAAAATCAAAAGCTCAAACACAGCAAATGAATGGAAAACAACTGACATATTCCTGACTTGGTACAGGCATTTCCTTATGTAGAAAATGGGGGATTAAACCTGGTTTTATAGCTAGCTAAACTTCTCACTTGTATGACAGTCGCATAGAATTCCATAATATTGACAACAATGTGTGGGCAAAATAAACAGACATAATAGGTAAAAATGTCAAAAATTGAGGAGAGACCTTGATGCTTAATGGGGTTAGACATAATATAGTTGAGATATTCTACAGAAGACTGAATCAACATTTTATTCATGATTTCAAGAGTTCATGCATGGATATTTCAAATTGACATGACTTCTGATATTTGTTTAAAGAAACAAAAATACTATATATACCGTAAAAAGAGATCCATCCAGAATAAAATGAAATGAAACGAGAAATTTTAAGGAGGTATAATTCAATACATTGTTCTAAAGTTTAATATAAATCTTCAAAGGAAAAGAAGGTGGTAATGTAATGATCTATAAGATTTATTTTTCAATGGAACATACCATGTTGATATGCATTATGAGGATGATCATTGATATGGTCATAATCATAAATTGACTGTATATAAAATTTCGAAATACTTTGGATTTTCAACCCCAGGAATAGATTATTTTACCTGTATTTGGCACATCCTTTCGGAATTTTGGATCATCAATGCTCTTCAACTTCGTACTTTATTTTACCTCTTTAACGAAACGCGCGTCTGACGTAAAATTGTTTAAGTCTGGTATCTATGATGAGTTTATTTATAGACATTCATAGCAAAAAAGATTGATGTCCTACATGCCACCCTACCAATAAGAAGTTATAATTCTTTGTAGAGATTAATAAAGCGAACAAAAATGAATCAAGATAAAACATTGCCGCTGGTGGCCATATTTTTCATTCCATTGTTTGAATATCTAAATTTTACAAAAATCTCTCAGGCATTGTTCTTGTGTATGAATCAAATGATATGTGGTGTATACGTCAACGAGATAGCACCCGAATGACAGAACTATCAGTTTGTTAAAAGACCAATCAAGACAACTCAGTATTATGAAATTTAGATATTTCCATGTCTTGAAGTATCAGATGTTTCAATAGCGGAAAATAAATCAAATTTAATCATGCAATATCTTCAGTCCAAATGTATCGGCGGAAAATGAAATAAAGAATGTTGATAAAAGTCTGAATACATCATTAATATGGTAATGTATGGTTTAGCTTGGTATTATATATTTATAAGCAGATGCAAATGTAAAACATAACCGTATTAATATGAACGACAATGAACAGAATAAAACACACCCATTAACCAAACTAGTAGGTTAACTTATGGAATTAAGGATAAGATTGTATGTAACGAATAAATTAGATTTTTTTTCTATGCCCATCGCCACTATCGGTCTCTTCTTGATGATATGCTGGGTTGTTCCGTTTGTCCGTAACAAAGCTTGTTCGATGCAAAATTGCTGACGTTTTTTAAGAAATTGAACGTAACTGGGCATTGTCGCTTCACATCATCTACAGTTTTATAACACATGTGTTATTCTTATTCTATATCCATTTGTATTATCATTATTATGATTATTATGATTTGTATTATCATTATTATGATTATTATGTTTTGTATTATCATTACTATGATTATTATGTTTTGTATTATCATTACTATGATTATTATGTTTTGTATTATCATTACTATGATTATTATTTTTTGTAGATAGATTTTTTTCGAGTAATCCCCAACCACGAAAACATGGTCATTTTTATAAATGGGACAGGCTTCTCTAAGTATTACTTGATACATCAATTGAATGGATTCAGTCATACGCTGATGGCTCCCAAAAATGTGAGGGGTTCGACGGTGAAAATGTATATAATACACAACTAAATGTGCCATACATGCACCTGAGCACATCTGTAATTTATGACACTCAATTTACTTCGTCTAATTATTTTCCATGCAGACAGTAACTTGTTTAATACGTCCGACTTTTAGTAATATGATGATTTATACGCATATTAAACCGACAGAACCCCTTTAATTACGTCATTTTAGCATACATTTTACACCGCGAAATTAAAAATTGAAACCTAAATCAAGGATTACTTTTAAATAGAACACCTGTGGATTTATTTCAGTTTATAAATTATATAACCCAAACAATATTGTAAGTTGTCCTACTTTTATGTCCGGATACGCCATTCTTTTCAGAACAGCCACCAGCATCAACTTTCTATAAGGGTGCTTGAACGAATCACCTTGGATTGTTAGAAATAATATATTGTCCATTTTGATTGTTGTCGTTTATTGTTTATAGAAAATGTATACGTATTTCCAAAGTATGGAGCTCTTGTATGTTTTAACACACTTTTATTACAAGGTGTATGATAAGTGCATTGATTTTACTCCCGCAGTCCCTATCTAATAAAAGACTAACGGTTACATAAAAGACCATAAATACTATACTTACAAGATTTTCGTTGTTTTACTTATATTCATATTATGAAAGCTTAGAATTAAATGAAACATATTCATCCATGTCTTCCCTGAGGATAATACGCCATGAAATTGTGAGAGTGTTTCTGAAATCTTGGGAATATTGTTTCTGAAAAGAACAGTGAAATACTGCGACAAATAATTCTCAGCTATACATTTGTAGTACACAAGCCTGAGCACATGCACATTTTTATATAAATTTATAATTGAAAATATTTTGTAAGGCAAGTATTTTATCTTGTAACAAACATATATTTCTTTTATCATAAGCTAATTTCGAATTTGCGTTTATAAATGATTAAAGTCAAATATCTAATTTGTACCATATTATACTGTTTAAATATACGTTTAAGTACTGACAATCATTTGTAATATACATGTTTGTTACCATCAATAAAATCCAACACTTTAATGATATCATTCTCAATAATATTAATTTTTTCACATCTATTTCATAAGACAACATTTTATGACACTTCATCTATGAAATATTGTCTCAATAGCCTATAAACAAAACGTAACTTTGGATACCACCCCCCCCCCCTTCCCCCTCCCCCTTAACGAGACGATATTTCACAATTTTGTCTTTCTCTGGACATTTTTTCATAGATGGTGACAAAAGATCATGATACATAATCATGAAATATTGTCTTGGGGCACATTATTTCATAGGACAATATTTTGCCTGATTTTTATTGTTTAATTCCACCTTATGTAATAATGCTGTATTTTGATAGGATGAGAGAAATTATATTTTTCACCAATTTTCTATATATTGAGATTTTCTTTTCTCTGTCGGTGTATTTGTCATTAGAGAATTCCATGTGCCGTGGTTTTGCTAGCAAATACCACGGCAGATGGGAAATACTATGTCTAAAAATAACGCGACTTCCGAAGACCTCTAGACTTTTTTGTCTTTTTTCATCACGAATTTACTCCAAAAAAAAAATGGAAAGAAAATCATGATCGACTTATACATGTATGAAAAAACAAAATGTTATGGAGTAAATACAAGAGACATTACGATATGTTATAACGCAATCTACTGGTTTCAGGGTTTTGAGTAACACATAACAAAGGAATGCAACTTTTATTGTTGTTCTTCATCCTGAAGTCACTATTAGGTATGAGTACTTATATCCAACAGAAATTTCAAGAGGGACACGTACATTGTAGGTAATTGTTCATTTTTTAAAGGTTTTATTGCTATTCTTCATCTTGAAATCACATTTTGTGCTAGGATTTTGTGTCATTTGAGTTTGTCACACGGTTAGTTGTTTGACCTGATAAAGTCACAATTGTGGCCCGACTTTGTCATTGGTTGTGTCATTTGATTTGTCACGCAAAAAATCCATTATGTCATACAATACAAATTTGCTACTATGCTACTTACAGTTTAGTTTAGAAACAGGATTATTGGACAGTGAGGAACAGCTGCATACCATTACACATACACAAATTTTACAGTCAAGCAGAAACTCCATAGGATACCTGATTACAATGAAAATTCTGAGGTCAAGATGGATACAAAAAGCATTCGGTGGAATTAATGGAATTCCCTAATGTTAAATACACCGGTAGAGAAAAGAAAATCTCAATATATAGAAAATTGGTGAAAAATACCATTTTTCTCATCCAATCAAAATACAGCATTATTACATAAGATGGAATTAAACAATTATATCATGCTTACAAGGGGTATTTGCCAAAAATGCCGCTTGTAAGCATGACATATTTGTATAAAAACCCTTAATACTATATGAACTGTCAGATGTCTTTTTTTTTTTCTCGTGTCGTTGGGTTGCGTGCTCAATGGCGTATACCTCACATGCCTCTCGTTTTAGTTATGAGTAGTAATGTTATCATAATATCAAATAACATACATGAAGCTATGATACAGTTGGATTAGTAAAGTTTCGGAGGCTTCTTAAAATGACACTGATGATGACAAAAAAAACAGAGAACTTTCGTGCGATTTTAAGCTTTATGAATCAAAGTCAGGACGATATTCATTTTCTTAAGTTGCGAATGGAGTAAGTGAATATTCAAAATAAAACATATTCTTCGAAGTGATGTGGTTGCTCGGGGACGGACGTATCGTGTGAAGCTGTTTATTTCAAAATGTGATTCACTTATTCAAAACCCAATGGTTAATTTTCTCAGCTATTATATAAGCGATTATACAATGCATCCAACGAACGATTTGTCTTTAAATATTTTGAACTACTACAAAAATTAATTGCATGTAGGATTTGAACAGGGTGTAAATAGTTTTGCCGTACATCGATTTTAGTCATCCATTTGATCTGCATTTTCAGATTATGAATAATATTTTCTACCTGAGTTTACCTATGTCACCTGTCTTGACCAACAGTTTATAGGTGTCATGTGCCATTATGACATACAATTCTGATCTATATGCTCCATTTGATTTACAGGCCAGAGGACAAATACAAAGGCAGGTTAGATTTAGATTTAAATAATTGTTTTTATAAATGGCAAAATACACATTTTTTTTCAATATTCAAATATAATTATCACCGTATTAAACATATAATTCCAATCGATTTTGTTTCTCTCTCGCTAATTTGTATTAGACCTGCGTGGTGTAAATAATTAATATTAGCACATCAATACATACTTACTGACAATGATACTGGTTTAATATCTGTTTTGTTCAATTCTTTTAAAAGCTTTCATTACTTTGACTGTCTTATAAATTTAATCTTTAAATTTGTCAAAATCAAAGATTTAAATGATTTAAAATTGAATCAAACATCAAACACAAAAACAACAAGCATTAATCATTAAATAATACATGTCTTGTGTACAAGTTGTCATTTTGTACACATTACAATTTGTACAAAATTTATGTACGAGTTATCAGTATTTTGCAAATTGCATAACATAATAAGGATATTAAGCTAACACGTGACGTCTCAGCATATATAACACTCACACTGATACAAATAAATAAGCACATTATAAGATATTATGGGGACTTAAAATCTTGAATAAGAGAAAACATATCAATAGAAATAAACCAAATATGGTGTCCTAAATTGCAACAACTTTAGGCCAACGAGAACAGTGCTTGAAGTTTGGTTTACTGAAATATGACAATTTTTGTTACTGTGTAATTTTTGAAGATACACGTTCATTTCGTGATGAAAGAATAAAATCTGCACACATATAATTTGTAAACAATACACCTTTTACGCGAGGTACAGATTTGTATGTATATTATATTAAATCAAAACAAAAATGAACAGAAAAGTCCGTAAAGAATATTATGATTTGGTTCTGGGTTGAAAACAACATAGTTATATAGTTTTAAATTGCTTCAGTAGATACCATGTAGCTGTTCCCGCATAGACAGCCACTGGAAGATGAGATTCAAACAAAATGATTTTTCAATTCCCGCTCAAGTCTCGTTACGATTTTGAACTAAGCTTTCATGTTTTCTTGATTTTATTTGTATTTTTCTAAAGACCACAGACACTCAATAAGCTTGATTCTCTCACCTTAAAACCAAACAGAGCAATGTTAACGTTGACCTCGAACGACCTAAGGGTTACGTGTAATTATGATTAGTTAGATACCTACTGTAACAAGTTTTAAAGACTAAGTTTATTATAATTGCCTTCACAATAAATACTAGTTTGCGTGAACTTTATATCCGAGTCTGATGAATTCTGTGCTAGCTAGTGAAAAATACAAAGAAATAGTTTGCTTCAACAATCAGATGTTTTATGGAAGCCGGTTAGAGTCATGGTGTTGTTTTATCTGAAGTCCTTATCCCGACTTGCAAACTCGTAATAAAGACTTAGCTAACTCGTTATAAGACTTGGCTTACTCTTTATAACGACTTATCTAATTCGTTATCACGACTTAGCTAACTCGTTATCACGACATAGCTTACTCGTTATAGCGACTTAGTAAGTAACGACTACGGTAATTCGTTATAACGACTTAGCTGAGTCATCGTTATAACGAGTAAGCTAAGTCATGATAACGATTTTAAAAACTAAGTCGTTATTACCAGTTACTAAGTCATGATAACGACTTAAAATAAAACTACTCTCTGACAATTACAGTTTCGTGCTAGTTAGTGTTGCAGACTGTGAAAATAAACAAATAATACTATTGAGATACAATTTAAACATGTGACAAAATTGATATATCAACGTAAATGTGTTCCTCTTAACAGGAATTCTCTGGAAACTTTGTTATAAACACTGCTATGATATCTATTCCTGTTGGAACAAATATTTTATACTATTTATTCTGTTTGGAACTAATATTATTAAAGAACTTCTATTTTGTAACAATTTACATCCGCCTGAACTCACAATTTGAAAACCTTTATGTTACCCTTTTATAACAATACCAGGGGTTTCTCGTAGCCAGTTTAGCATTGAATGGTTTCGAGCTTTGAGTTGAAATAGGTGAAAAACAAACATTTCTAAATATTGTTATCACACCTGTTTTGGGGAATATTTATCTCATTTCACACATTGACAAGATGATATTGTTTGTAGTAAACAATATAGCATGTACATGTACTGAAATCAAATGTCATTTGCACTTATTTGAGCCCTACAAATGCAGCAGTTTTCCTTAAGGACCACATATTTAAAACAGATTTTTGGCTGGGTATTCATAATCAGATCTGACATGTTTTGGGGGATTCATACAAATATAAATTCATATGTAAAACATAGAGCTACTCTGAAAAGAGTTATGAGAGACGTTATCATTTATATACACATATGTTAGTCTTGTATGTTTTTTTTTTTTATTTTAGTTCTTTTATATGTTTCGGAAGTTAGTGTGACGTCCATTTTCACTGAACTAGTACACAATTTTGTTTAGGGGCCAGCTGAAGCCTGCCTCCGGGTGCGGGATTTTTTCGCTGTGTTGAAGACCCATTGGTGGCCTTTGGCTGTTTTCTGCTGTTTGGTCGGATTGTTGTCTCTTTGACACATTCCCCATTTCCGTTCTCAATTTTATATACATATACCAAGGATTTATATAGTAAGACGTCAAATCTATGTATAAATCTATACACATAAAATATAAAACATAATGAAAATAAAAAAATAAACATTTTAAGAATATAATAAACATTTTCTTTTCAAATAAATATTATAGCAGATCTTGGCAGTGTAAAAGTAAACATTTAATCACTAAATAAAATACAAATTTGTTTTCATCTGAAGTTCTCTATTAAAATCGAGACAAATAAAATAGCATGACTAGCATGTAAACCTGCATATAATGAACAACTCAAACGTAGATGTTTTCCATCTTCAATTGCACTATTTTTACAATTAAAACAACCTCTGTCATTAAAATGTAAGTTCTGCGCAACACCACAGCGCTTGTGTATTTCCCTGCAATTTTTTACAAATAAAGCTCTGTTTTAAACAATTTATAAGTATGTATTTCGGCATATTAATTCGGAACTAACTAATTATACCATTCATCTTTTTTATAAATCAATAGCTAAGCATTCTATATCATTAATTACATTTTTAGTTAACAATATATCACAAATACAGTATGGTTCTAGATAATATATTATCAGATATAATTCATAGTTGGAATGGATTGATTGTTTTTCGAACTAATTAGCAAAGCAAGATACATTTTTACATGTATAATATCATCATTTTTCATATTTTGCGTCATGAACACGTCTCATTTTCTCAATTATCGATATCCCTTAACACGTTTTAATAGAAAATCTGGAGAATAAACATTTTGCTTCATCAAAATAAGATATTAAAGAAATAATTTCTTCATGTCATGCTTTGTGCTCATTTTAACATGGAAAGGCATTATATTTGTCGATATTTTACACCGAGCGTTAGGTGTCAAATATGGTCAAATATAATGCCTAACCATGTTAAAATGAGCATAAAGCATGACATGAAGAAATTATTTCGATTCTAATAGGACAAACTCGGTATTTTTATAGGTCGAAGCGTGCGAAAATACCGAAGGAATGTTTGGCTGTTCCTGTTTCCTCCCTACGAATCATGTACATTACATTTTCATACTTAATAAGTTTAAAAAAGAATAGCAGGGTAAATACATGATGTTTTGGTAAAAATTTATGATAAAATGTTATGTACGCAGCTAAGATATATATTTTTTATTAAGATAGAAATGAAAATAACGAGAATGTAAACAGTAAGTTTGTGCGCATGTGTCAAACATATTTTGTGTTAATTAGAACACGGCTTTGTTTACAAATCGAAATAAGGACGTCATATTAGAATGTGTTTATTTATTATGTACACTAAAAATACTGTTAATTGCATTTCACATCTTCTTCGACCTCGGATAAAAAAAATATTCCATCGACTGACAGAAACTGTTTTGTTCAGGTTCTGTGATGTCATCGATTATTTAACATTTTGCATTTAACCTTGGGAAAAAAAACATTAATTAACTGTAGGAGTTTTGTAGGGTTGAATAAAAATCCTCATACTATTCTGTTTGTACGAATATGAATAAAAGAAGATTTAGGCATACGTCAATAGGACCGCAATCCAAACGGGAAAAGAAACAACCCTAAGGACATCTGGAGGTCATTATACAGCATTCTACAATAGACAATATTTTCTATATAATATGTTGAGATCTAACAAGTCTAGCAAAATTCTATACATGTAACAGATGTTTATAAAGATCTACAATCATCACTAAATTATCCATATACCAAAAAGAAAACAACATTGAGTATTGTGATCAGTTGGTGTTAACTTTGAGTACTGTGATCAGTTGGTGTTTACTTTGAGTACTGTGATCAGTTGGTGTTTACTTTGAGTACTATGATCAGCTGGTGTTTACTTTGAGTACTGTGATCAGTTGGTGTTTACTTTGAGTACTATGATCAGCTGGTGTTTACTTTGAGTACTGTGATCAGTTGGTAGTTTTTTTTAGTATTTTGATCAGTTGATGTTTACTTTGAGTTTGGAGAAAAGTCGGTGTTTATATTGTTCTTTGAGTATTGTGAAAAGTTGGCGTTTAAAATGTGCTTTGAGTATTGTGAAAAGTTGGTGATTAAAATGTACTTTGAGTGTTGTGAACAGTTTGTGTTTAAATTGCACTTTGAGTACTGTAAACAAATGGTGTGTACATTGTACTCAGTGTGTTGTGCTCAGTTGGTTTCAACTTTTAATCTTATTGATAGAGACTGGTGTTAAGTGAAATGAAAAAAATATATATATGGTATTTATACTCATAGCACGCCAAGAAAAAAAATGATTTGCAAATCGTAAAACCAATCTAATAACGGATGTTTTAGGCGACTTGTTTCTCGTGAGTCATTTCAACAGATTCGTCAATCTTTATTTTAAGTAGAATTATATCTGGGTATGTACCCATCTTATCATTATTTATCTTGTTGTCGCACCTCACCCGGGTATTATCTTTCTTTTTCTTTTTAAATGCATTGTTTGTTTTACACTCCTTCGTTCTCGTTGTTTACTATACCACAATATTTTATAAGCTTGCTCATTGTTTATACCCAGTGCTTAACAGAGCATGTAGCTATCGGCCATTAATACTTTTTTTTCTAGCTGTAAGAATTTATACAGCCTTTACAAATACCAAGTTAATTGTTATGTATCAGGTTTATCCGACTGGATTATTGGAGCATTTAAAAATTTTAACTATACTCAACAACAAAGAAAACAATTCATTTTCTTTAGCCTCTGCTTGAAAACAAAAACGCATGTATATTTTATCTTTTAAAATAAGAAGCTTCTTTTTGTGAAAATATTATGAATGTACGGTATACATTTGTGTGTATACAATCATTAGAAAAAAGCTAATTTTTAAGGTCTTTTTGAGATTTCGCACAAAAATATATCTACCAGTTAGAATGTTTAATTGCGTTCTTTTTTACGTGTGAAAATATTAACAACCCTGAATAGAAAAAAAAAACCCAAATTATCATCGAGTCTTTTTATCAGGAAAAAAACATGTCATTGATGATGTGTATTCCTATTATTATTATCTTTATAGTTATTATTATACTGGGAAGTAAGGGATAAATTTGTAATGACTAAAGATAAAACCTACTCTGACGCCTTTAATGCAATTGCAATTGGTACGTTGCATGACATTTTTCTTACGATATTCTTGGATTCAGATACTGAATAGAGGGACAAAACGAGGAAAAGTGGTGCGGTAATATGGTCGCTAAGCTTACATAAAGTAACGGTCTGATAATCACCATTATGTTTACAAGCCTTATAATCTATATATTATTTTTGCATAGAAAGGGAGCCTTTAAACAGACTTTTTAAAACATCCGAATTGTATTTTGTGATTTACATTTTTAGAATGAAAGGTCCTAAGATTGGAATTTGAAAGCATTATCTAAGATTACACCTCCTACCGGTAAGTTTTGTTACAGGTACATGTAACTTGACAGAATATTGCAAGGTTAAAATGATTGTATAATTATTACTGTATAGGTTTATTTCCGGACAAATAATTACTTGTCATTGAGATTGGTGTATTGTATACATATAATAATAGATGGGAAAACATATGAACTGTGCAATGAATTATTAAACCATATAAAATTGCAAGTGTGACTTGAATTATTATTTCACTGTTTATAACTTCTGACTTAATTCAACTTGAGATCTACATTGTAGGAGATAATGAAGAACCGTTAAAATTGCTGTGATATTAGACTTGTGAAATTTAAGCAAGTTTTTTTAATTACTATTTTAATAGTTTACAACAATTTTCTCGTTTGAAATATGCTGTTAGACTTCTAAACGGGGATCGTTATGTATGATGTATTGCCATTAAACATAAATAAAGCAATTTAATAAAATTTCTGACCAGTTTAAAGTTCGGTTTTTAATTAGATAAGCAATAAATAAAAAATGCATTTGAGAGAAGGCAACTCAAAATTAAGTTGGGAGTTGTTCCAAATGGTAAGTTCTATATAAAGGAAATTTGAAGTATACATGTATATATAGTTTTAAGTCAGATAAATTATATACTTAGTTAACTGACCTGTTTTAATTTATATATACACGTAAATATGAGTCTGTATCATCAAATTTGTGGAATAATTATTTAATTTTCAGCAATTATCAAAATGACCGATTCAGAGATCAACTTGAACAACAATTATGCGAGAAAGCCATTAACAGCAAAAGAAGAAAAGGCGCTACAACAGGTATGATATATATATATATATAACGTATACTACTGATTCATGATAGCATGACAAGTAGTTTGTGAAAACAACATTATCTGGTACGCTAGAGAACAAAAGTCAAAAGCCAATTACATACATAACAGACATAAATCATTTCAACGTTGCTGTCTGTCCGTATACTTGATATGAATATATCTACGGGTAGAGCATTCAAAACGTATACACATTATATAAGGCGTTTACTCGGACTGAGAAAAATGGGTATAAGCTAATGGCTGAATTTGGTATTATAATGCAGGTTTCACAGACGATATCAATCTGTAAAAGTTTGTTTTACGTCCAGGTTTCTGAAGAGCTAATGCTAGACGCCTATTTTCCCTTTTAATTTTCATGATGATGATGATGATGATGATGGATGGCTGCTTAACATCCAGCGGCAAATTAATATGTATTTTCAGGACGAGAACATGTTAATGTAATATGAATATAAAACCCTGCTTTGTACTAGACCGACACGCTGAGCCGGATTTTTAACGTTCTTGTTCACAAGGTAACGGTCCGCAGGAAGACATGTCACCTTACACGGATACATTATTCTGACTCCGAGCCAACCAGTCTTTGCTCTTACTCCTTAATGCCGCGTGCTTAGCGGGGAAGCAGCAAATACCAATTTTGAAGTCTTTGGTTTGACCCGGCCGGGGTTTGAACCCACGACCTTTAATTGAGCCTCTAACATTATACGTCACCTCTAGACAAACTCGACTATTTGCGAAGGGTACAGTCAAGCCTGTTCTTGTTGTAGGGAGACTAAATCAAGAGTATTCATCGATTTATTACTGTTTGTCTAACGTCCAGTGGCAAATAGTTCAAGAAAATTCAAGAAGTAAAAAAATAAGTCTTTGAAGAATAACACACTCAATTTTAAAAAGCAGTTATAAGAAGGTGTTTCAGATGTCTTTTTGTTAATTCATTTTTTTCTCCCTACCAAATTCTCCCTTATTTTTGATTAACAGTCATTCCTATTCGTCTTTCTTATGATTCTCCACTTTTCAGATTAAACATATTGATCTGTAGGTACATAAACTTGTTCTAATCCTAAATATGTGTGAACTATTTAGAAGACTGAGTGTGCATAACACCAGCAACAATAAACTATCCGTAATTAATGATGGTGTTTATTTTTTTCAATTTTAGTTTAGAGAAAATGTAAAGGACGTAGTAGATCTTATTAATTACGATGTGGAAAAGTTTCTTCGAGGTAAGAAATATATGGTTAACATTCATTGAAAGTTAAAGAAAGTTGTAATCTACATGAACATTGAAAATAATCGGAACTGCGCTACATGCCTACTCAAAGAGATCGCATCTCTAGTGGGAAAAGATGGTCAATGTTCCATAGATGTCAGTATTTTTGTCCCAAGATACTCCACATACAATGTATCAAATAATGACATGTACATGTGGTGTTGCCTATGAGACAACTATCCATTAGAGCCCAACAAAACAAGGATTTAAGGATGTTTGCTACTCTATTTCAAAATAACAAGCTTTTTAAAAGACTGTTATAAATTTAAAGTACACCAATAACAGAACTCAAAAAGCAGAAAAAAATGCAAGGTCCCTGTCCTTGTTTTTGAGATATAAATAATTGAAAATTTGATTGGAAATGATTCTCTCTAGATTTCTCATACATTTACATAGGTACCTTTACAAGGATTTTATCAGATTTTCCAAATTCCTTTTTAAACTATATGTAATAAAATTATGAAAAGAAAAGTAAGGGTTAGTGGGTAAAATTCTTCTAGGCATCGCATGGATAAAACTAGAGGATTCCGAATATCTGACAAAAAGTCAAAAACATGAGAAGCGAACATCCTTAAGCATCTATAGGGCGCTGTACGGCCTCCAACAATGAGCAAAGCCCATAACATATAGTAAACTATAAAAGGCCGCGACCTAACAAAATGTGAAACATTTCTAACGAGAAAACTATGTATATCTTATTACAGAAAAAAGATGTTCCATATATTTATGATTCTCTCAAAATAGCACCTAGCCATTCTGCATTGTAGCTCTAGATTACTTGGATGGGGTCAATATTAAAAGACCACGTTTCCAGGGGCCATACAAAAATTCCAACACCATCTATAAAAATGTTATATATAATATAATTGATGATTTAAGTATCAATTTCCTACACAAAATACTTTACATTTTTTCAATATTTACTCGATAATCCGAAATATATTTCTCCCAAAATCCTGGTATCAGCTTAAATGTCATGATGCCGGGACCATTGGCACAGACAACTGTTGTATCAATTACCTACCAGTTTTCATGGTATCATCTAAAATAGTGTGATAGGAGGTCAATGTAGATCATTGTTTTGCCTCCTCCTTTTCAGAGGTCGCATGAACATTCCCACACCATTGATATGTGTCTACGTATAATGTGACAAGTGACATCCAATGCTTAGTACTTCAAAATATTTCAATAATTACTGGATAACTTATATCACATTTTCGCCCAAAATTCTGGCCTGAAAGGCAAATATCACAATTCTGAAATCTTTGCACAGACAACTGTCGTATTAATTACACACAAATTGTCATGGCTCTATCTCAAACGGTGTAAGAGGAGTTTGAGGACAACAGATTTTGCTGGGGACGATATCCTCAGGGGTGGCATGACAATCATAATACATGTACCATTGTTCATGTTTGCAGATATACTGTGACTTGTGACTCAATGTTTAAACTTTCTATCCTTAATAATTTTAGAATTCTGACCATTTGGAAATAAAACTTATCTTGGTGATAATATATTCATGATAGTTCTAATAACAATCCTTTTTTTCCAGCTCGCTCTTTTGATATTAAAAAAGCTGAACAAATGTTACGAACAGTAAGTTTTACCTTCTTATATTTTTTAATACGTTTTAAAACTGTTTCATATATGTAGTAATGTTACTAAATGATTTTATTATAAAAATAAGAAGACATATAAGTTATTTAAAAATCCTCCGCCTCTAGTCTTTCCCTTTGCGCCAGGCCACCATACAAACTGAGTACATTTTCTGAAGAAGACGAATTTTCTGCTCATTTGGTCATTTATCTCGGGTCAATGTCAGATGCATATTTTATATTTTATCAAATTGCTTTGTATGCGAATGTTTTAAGCTGTGATTCATAGATGCTATTTATTGATATATGATTGAATGATTGATTATATTATTTATTATCCACACTATAAGTACCCTATTGGAAATAAGCGTTTTTGCTTTCATGGTTCATCCTTGAATTAAGGTATTAAGGGGGTGCAGAACACCTAAGGGAGTTAACTCTTTAAAAATCTGCTCAACATTTTAATTAAATATTATTAGTATAGAGAAATCAAGCTTCTCAATGATCATAATTGGTGTTTGTCAAACAGCTATATAAACAATAAAATTATTCCGGTAAATTGTGAGAGTCAAATTTTTTCAAATTTTTATATTTTTGTCAACAGGTCAAAGTAATTATTTTGTCAAAATTTTATGAAAATTAAACGAGCCAAATCTGTTTTAGTCAAAGTGTTGGGTACCCCCTTAAATATACTGTACCTGTAGTCACAACCACTTCTATATCTTAAGGTTTTGTTTGGCTATGTTTCGAAATCTTATTACATATATATTGCCCTTACCTGAATAAACATTATTATTATTAAAATGAGTTCAAAAATCAAAAGTTTGGAAAGTTGATAGAGAATAAAGTAATGGAGAGCTTCAAAACAAAGCGACCGTTGAGAATAGTGGGCACCAGGCCATAAGATATAACTATGTAAATCAACAAGTATAAATGAGGATCATTTAAAAATCTGCATTTGAAAGAACAAAGGGTTTGTAAAAGTGTACAACAAATAAAAAAATAAATAAACCAAGGACAAGGAATATAAAAGTAGGATACGGGGGTATGATTGCCAAGGACAATAACTTTATATAGAAATCTGTAATGTGATGCCACTGTTGGTTATATATTAAGTTTCACATATATCAGGTCATTCACCGTTTTAATTTAACAGGTAGAATTGAAAGTAGTGAAGGATGATGTGTTTTTCTTTATAGAAATATCGTTAAGTAATAGAATCATGAAGTTTAATGTTATATAATGAATAAAAGACGGGTTATAAATTCTTATTTTTTCATTCTTCTAATATAATAATAATATAACAAGGTTTGTGTTTCAAGATTTAAGAAATTGCTTGTCAAAAAATAAACTCATTAGATAATTTAGAATTAAGACTTATAGGGGTAATATCTCATAAGTGTACAAAACAAATTACAATGTATTTTAAGAATGTACATACGGATAAATAATGTTGTGAACGGCAACCAAAACCACCAAAGTTTACCAAAAAAAAAACCCGACATTTATATATATATATATACGTCTAAATATGTGACCACTTTACGACAGGCGTTCCTAATAGGATAACCCGTGGTTATGCAGGGCTAACACCATAATTTATATATACTTCATCTCAAATTTAGCCCATCAATGTTAGATCTGCAAATTTGCGTTAATCTATATACAGGTGATGTTGCCACGATGTCTCAGATGCTGAGGGAAGAACTTGATATAACATTGTTGGGCTAAATATGAGACGAAGTAAAATATATATACATGTATATGATTATGAGAAGAGTTGAAATAAATGTTAAGAAATCCCATAGAGACCAGTCACATATACAATTCAGTAAAGTAAGGTTTAAACGTATGGAGAAAATTTGTGAAATTATAGAATTTATTTGTGGGAATGTACAGAGGACAATAATGTTAAGTTTACAGGTTTGATAGATAGGCCGTAAAATCAATAAACTATCTATAGAAAGAGTAAGAATTGTCTTCATAAGCTACCCCAAGGACGACTGGGGTATAGAAATATGGTCATCCGGACTTCTCACAACCAAAGTGGAGAGTCCGTTTAGCTGTTAGGGATGCTTAAATACGCAGCCACGTCTAGTCGGAATTGGGACGTTAAAATCGATGCCTCGGGTATTATATAAATAAACTTGCAAAAATCTTTCAGGGTCCGTAAATGATCAATCTAAATAGATATAAGAAGATGTGGTATGAGTGCCAATGAGACAACTCTCCATCCAAGTCAAAATTTATAAAAGTAAACCATTATAGGTCACAGTATATACGGTCTTCAAAGGTTAGATTTCCGCCCCTATCCAACATATCATCATTTCATGTGGCAGTCCAAATTTCCTACCCTTCATCTTGAACGGCACACATTGCAGAACCTTTGTTTTAATTGTTAATGGTTTCTCGTCCTGAATATGCATGAAATATACGAATACTAAATTATTTAACAAAAACACATTAAAGATACCAGCTTATAATTTTGTACGCCAGACGCGCGTTTCGTCTACAAGTGTCTCATCCGTGACGCTCGAATAAAAAAAAATACAAGACCAAATAAAGTTCAAGGTTGAAGAGTATTAAGAGCCACAAGTTCTATAAATTGACCGATTGAATCTATTGAATACGTACCTGACTGCCAGCGGGTCATAGTTTTTTCAATCTGATCTGGTGTTATTCATAGTTTTAATTGACATTTAAACTATGAAATTTAACATAAAGTTTACAACTATTTAAAAGCATTTATAAATCAGCTATCTTGAAAAATTGACCTTACTACTACTATGTCATATTATATCCTACATAAGTGAGGGTCTGGATGGGGGAGGGGTCCTTCATTTCTTTATTCTTTAACTTTTTATACCATTTTTCTCTATTCTTTATTTTTTTAGACCCTTATTCTCTACTTTTTATATTTCTGCACCCCATTATTATCTATTTTTTATATTTGTCACTTTATTCTGCAGTTTTTATTCTATCATTCTCTATTCTTTAAAACCGCATCCAGACCCTCATTAATACAAGTAAGGTAATAAATGTTCAGTGCATTAGTTAAGTAATTAAGACATCGCCTAAAAGGGCGTATGACATTTGCGCTAATTTCGAAACTTTTATTTTCACCGTGTTGAGCACGGGGCAGATGGCAGTCGGAAGAGGTATTTTCTGTAGTCATCAATTAATTTTATACAACTTCTGTCTCTTCTAATTGTTTTTACGTGTATATTGGCGCACATGAAATGCTGGTTGGTGCAAATGCATAACGCATCCGAATCTTCCTTTACTTTTATATTGGGGGATCTGTTCAGTAAAATGACCGCCTATGTCAAAAATTTTAGTTTGCCTTTACAAAGTTTATATTTTTTTTTAAATCCTATATATGTATTTTGTTTGCATGTGTTATTTGTGATGTTATTACCTTGACGTAGACCTTACATTTCACATTTTATACTGTTTTTATAATTGAGCAGTTGGCTGATGTATTTCAAATGCAACAGTTCAAACATGAGTTGCACATTTTGCCAGGCGTTTAGTCGAGACTGAAATCCGTTTAAATCATTGACATTGGAAGTTTGCTCTTTGCATAAGTAATTTTATTGTTAGTGGTGGTAAATGTAACCAAATAGAATCATTAAGATATCGATATAGTTAAAATACAATAATATAAACGATGCATTGGTATATATATTTCTCACTTTGCCAAAAAAAAATATGTACAATTTTACGAAACGATTGTAATATGACCATGTTAAAAAAGATCGATATCTTACCATTTCATTTTTAGATTTATCATTTTAATTGATAGAAATTAACAACAATTCTGTTCTAGCGTGACGAAGAATTTAGTTAATCTTAAACATACCCGCTAAAATTCTACTGTCAAATTTATATGCTTCGTCTTAAGCAATTTGGCCTAAATTAATTAAAGTCTGTTTTACTGTTATGTTGTTTAAGACATAGTACTCGTGGAATCCATTTCCTATGCAAATGGTTTACATCGTTTTTCTTTATCTTATTGTAATTCTAAAATTGAAGAAAAGTTTTGTGCCATTGCCTCTTAGAATGTTTTCTACTTGTTTCGTTATGAGACACTAACTTTTGTATAACTGGTACTTGCTTTCCTTTTTCACAATGTATGTAATAAAAGCTTTCATGACGAGTGAGATTTGAATATCTCTTCATATCAACTCAATTATTTAATTCCAATATTATGATAAACGAGTCTTTGGCGAGTTTATTAGTATTATCAAAATTAGATAATATAACGAGAAATTATCTTTGTGTGGCTTGGAAAAGTGGTCATTCTTGACCTTTTCTAGTCATCATTAACCTAACCATAGCCAATGGGAAAGTAACAATTTCGTATTACATGTCAGAACATGCCTATGTGGTATCACTTATTCATATCAGTACTCCGTTCCGAGTGAAACAAAACATATCTCTTCATGCTGAAAATTGATAACAAGCCGTAACTTTACGTGAATTTCTCGGTTACATCATCTATATTAGGCTCTTTCTCAGTGTACGTAAATCACTGAAACACTGATAACGTCTGAAACACAATTCTCTGGTTTATTTTATTAGAGTGTCGAATTCAGACAAAAGGCGAAAGTTGATACACTTCTGAAAGAATACAAAATACCAGAGGTAATTATAAATATTCAGTAATAAACTTTTCATTATTTTCGCTGAGTTAATTTATTTTCATATATTTTTCAAATTTATTAAATTCGTACGACCACTAAACCGGTTACTCTGTCTTTATAAACAGTGAGAGTCAGATGCTCTGCGTGATAATATCTAGCAAGAATTGGCAGTGAATATAAAAATAAAAAGATATAGTATGATTGCTAATGATATAACTTTCCACTAGAGTTACTGAAAGCTAGTTCGTTCAAAACACAGCTTCAACTAATAAATAAACCATGATTTCCTAGACATATATATAAAAAGATAAACCTTCAACAGATGTAATGTCAAAATGTCAAAAACAGTCCAGAAAAACATTTTTATTAGGAATAGTATCACATTTACATAATAAATATTTAGGTGATGGACAAATATTTAACTGGTGGATTTTGTGGTCATGCAAAAGATGGTTCTCCTATACGTGTAGAACTGTATGGGAATATAGATCTTAAAGGCTTAATGCGTTCAACAAAGAAATCCGATTTCGAGAGGAATAAACTACATCAGTGTGAATGGACCGTCAATGACTGGGCGGAACAGAGCAAAAAGGTAAGTGGAGGTTTCACTTGCTAATAATTTACATTGACATTTTGACATGTCGTAGACTTTATTGACATTTTGACATGTCGTAGACTTTATTCACTCACCTTTTTAAATAAACGAAGACTTGAATTCATCTTTTGTTAGACTGAAAGTAGACAAAAATTCACTCGCTGCTAGACTGAACATCGACTGGAATTCCTCCAATGCAAGAATGTGCTTTTATTCTTATAAATAAAGGCAACAGTAGTATACCGCTGTTCAATAGTCATAAATCGATTAAGTGAAAACAAATCCAGGTCATAAACCAAAATCGAGGGAAATACAGACATACTTTATTCAAAAATTTCAACAACAAAAAGAAGCTGTCATTATCCTTTGACTTCACTTTCTGTTGTTGAGATAATGTCCCTTCTCTGAATAATAAAGACTTGAACGTTTGGTGACTTGTTGACTGCGTCTATCGCAATGAACTTGAAATAAAGGATATCTCGATACAGTTAAGTCTGCCTTATATCTTGACTTGCATCTAGAAATTGACAATTTAACAGGTTTGGGTTGTTTGCTTGTGCGATAACTGTACTCCAAAACTCTCGTGGTAATTGTCTCATTTAGTAATCATACCACATCTCCTGATTTTTATAACGATGAGAACTAAACTTTATGTTAACAATGTGAACATCCCATTTTCGTGTAGCAATATTCCAGTAGCGCCTGTAAATGGAGTATATATCTCCCAGTTGATGCGATATTCCAGTTCTTATGTTTCCTATCATGACTTCATTGATATAGGGTTACTTCTTTGCACCAAGGGTTCAAGATGGTAAAGTTGAAGGCATTCCTTCGTAACGTTTACGGACGCCATCATGATTTGGTTGACTGTTATGGAATATCTGTGTCCCATATGACCGTGGATATGTAATACTTGTCGTAACCATAATTCCTCCCTCTTTTCATGACTTAATCAAATGAAACTGATCTTATTGTTTTTATTTTTCTGTATGCTCATTGTTGAAGGCCATGCGTTGACCTCCTAGTGCTGACATCAACGTCATTTGGACTCTGGTGGATAGTTATTTTATATCAGATCTCTTAATTTTTTATAACTAAAGTTTTGTAAATTTTCTTAATCTAAAGGTAACATCAAATGTAAAAAAAAATCTTTATAACCTAGAAATAAATCTGAGTCTGGTGATGAAAATGTCGTAAAGATTGGATAAAGAATCATATTTGTTTTGAAATTTATCTAATAAAAATATATATTTATGAATAGAAATATACTAGGGGAAATGTAAAATGAAGGAATTTGTCCACAAACTGTATACAATTGCATTTAGTAATACATATAGAAGGTTTAATTTCAAATATGGATTATGTCTGAATTATATTATTTTAATAATTCAAAAGAATATTTACAAAGCTTACAAACCAACATAAATATGAGCACTGTACTTCGAAATAAAAACAACACTATATACTGTAAATAAAAACAACACTATATATTGTAAATAAAAACAACACTATATACTGTAAATAAAAACAACGCTATATACTGTAAATAAAAACAACACTCTATACTGTAAATAAAAACAACACTATATACTGTAAATAAAAACAACAATATATTGTAAATAAAAACAACACTATATACTGTAAATAAAAACAACACTATCTACTGTAAATAAAAACAACAATATACTGTAAATAAAAACAACACTCTATACTGTAAATAAAAACAACACTATATACCGTAAATAAAAACAACACTATATACTGTAAATAAAAACAACACTATAAACTGTAAATAAAAACAACAATATATACTGTATTTTAAAGCTACAGTAGTTTACCGATGTTCAAATCTCCTAAATCGATTAAGAAGAGACAAATCAATGTAACAAACAAAACCTGAGGGAATCGCATGAACATCAAAAGTTGCGAGAGTGGGTGCGTCGGCAGGGTAAGCGTTTCCTGCTATGCATGTATCGCTCTATATGCGAATTCACACTCAGTCAAAATGTCACAATCTGGAATAGGACAGATTTGGTAAAATTACAGATCAGACGACTATACTGTTATCTTAAGATCTAAGACCGTAAAAACCTATCACTAATGAGTTGTGACACCGATATAGTGTATCGGTCAACGTGATGGTGACTGTAAATACTAAGTAGTTTCGACTTCACTCGTTCTTCCTCGCAATACCGTTGGAGCGGTTTTTGTTGAAGGAGAACACTCCTGTTAATGTAGTCCGTATGTTGTGAAAATGCACGAGCGTAACGTATTAAGATATGTAAACGCCATACAATGGAGCAGATGGTACGTTTCTGCTGAGAAATGGAAAGTTGACAATTGAAATGTTGAAATCAGCACATTTGTCATAGATTCTAGTTCGAAGTCGTCTATCTGTGTCAATATCGATGAAAAATGAAGCTATGGAGCAGACCGTCTACTTTCGGTACTATCCTTCATCTCAATCTTAAAACAGTATCAAACAAAGTTCAGTTATTAATAGCAAGATCCAAGTACTTTTTATCTGTGGATAATGAATATACATATACCGGTATATAATTATACTGTAAGATACTGTAATTATACATTCAGACAATCTAAGATTTGCAACTGCACCCTGAAACAAAAAGTACAACATTAGTTGATTGATTGATTGTTGGTTGCTAAACGTCCAGTGGCAAATATTGCATGCATGTTCGGGACGACACTACGACGTTAGCATAATATTAAATTGACTTATACTCCCGCATGGTATCGATATATTTTCTTTAAATCATGGCGTAATTCTTTTTCTTTTCGTTACAAAGTTGGGTTATCCAGTTGACGGGATGACAGTTATTTGTGATATGGGAAACACTGGAACGTCGGCGCTGTGGCTCCCTGGTAAGTTACAGTTATATATGATATGAGAAACACCGGAACGTCGGCGTTGCGGCTCCTTCGTAAGTTACAGTTATATGTGATATGTGAAATACTGGAACGCCGGCGTTGTGGCTTCCTGGTAAGTTACAGTTATATGCGATATGGGAAACACCGGATCGTCGGCGTTGTGGCTTCCTGGTAAGGTACAGTTATATGCGATATGGTAAACACCAGAACGTCGGTGCTGTGGCTTCTGGGTAAGTTACAGATATATGTGATATGGAAAACACCGAATCGTCGGCGTTGGGGCTTCCTGGTAAGTTACAATTATATGTGATATGGGAAACACCGGAACATCGGCGCTGTGGCTCCCTGGTAAGTTACAGTTATATGCGATATGGGAAACACTGGAACGTCGGCTTTGTGGCTACCTGGTAAGTTACAGTTATATGTGATATGGCCGGGAAACACCGGAACGTCGGCGATGTGGCTACCTAGTAAGTTACAGTTATATGCGATATGGGAAACACTGGAACGTCGGCGCTGCGGCTCCCTGGTATGTTACAGTTATATGTGATATGGGAAACACCGGAACGTCGACGCTGTGGTTCCCTGGTAAGTTACAGTTATATGCGATATGGGAAACTCTGGAACGTCGGTGGTGTGGCTCCCCGGTATATTAATTGGTAAATGAACAAAAATAATAATCATACAATTTATGTCATACTTTATGCTGGACTAAAATGAGGGATTGTATAAACTTTGGAGAGATTAAAATATTTCAACAAACTGTCACAAAATATCATATTATTTCAAAACAACTACCCGGATGTTTACCGATGAAAGTTCTATAATCAATTTCTTTAAAATCATCGATTCACTTCAGCTGATCTTTAAGAAGATGGCAGCTGTTTTATGAACGGTTAATTGTCTTTGTATCATGGGAAACTTTTTAGATAAAGGTGTAATATACAAGACAAGACACAGACACATACTTTATTATAGTCTTGTTACCACTATATAACTAAGTGTGAGCTGAAGGATATTTGTTAAAACAATTAGGAAATAAGGAAACTAAAACAATTAGACGTGAACATTAAGGAAGAACTTAGTAAGGAAAGCTCCTTTGTATTGCCTTAAAGGTAAAACAAAATGATTGGGGCAAAGAGCGTTATCAACATTTCAAAGTAACACAGGGTTTCGATTGTTCTCAAAAGCCGAACGAATTTAATAGTCCAAACTTATGCAAGAATTTTATTTTATTTTTTCAGGCATAAAAATGCACTTAGGTTTAGTAAAGATGTTAGAAGACAATTATCCAGAAATGTTGAAGAGACTTTTGGTTATCAATGGTAATTACATGTAAAAACACCAATCCTTATCTTGTTATTAGAATGCCAGACTAGTATACTATGGTGTAGTATTTACAAATTACTAGGAAGATAAATCAACTCGTAATTTATAGGACTGAGTATAAGTACAACAAACTTCGTGCTTTAAAAAATAAATAAGACAAGTCTACCGTATTGTAAAGTTTTACATTTGAAGATCATCATATTTTATTGGTACATAGTTCATTAAGATGATAAATTGTTGAATTGTTTAAACCATACCTTATAAATTTCACATAATTGAGCGCGGCTGAAGTATCAACGTTACTGAAGAATTGCTGTGTACGAAAAGGGAGTCGTTTTATGGTCTGAAAACAACAAACACACAAAAAAATAAAACTTATATTTTAACTTTTTGATTATTTAAATGCAAATGAGACGTTCCTCTGTTTGCAGCTTGGACGACTCTCATGGGTTCACATTTTGAAAGCTATATTTATTATTTCATTATTTTATTATTTTCTAGCACCTCGAATATTTCCAATATTATATAGAATATCAAGACCGCTTATCAGTGAAGACACAAAACAGAAAATACACGTTAAAGGAGGTAATTCGTACAGTTAGATTTATTTATTTGTATGATATAATCCATGTTCTTGGTTAAAATTTACGTATTTTGTCTAGTTTAAATGTTTGTACATTTCTTGTTAAATTCGACCTGAGCTTTTATTTCACATTGCTCAACGTCATGAATTGTTTGTCTATTCAAAAGTTACAATTTGCGCATTATGTGTCTATTATGCTCTATATAACTTGAAAAGAATCATTTGTATGTCGGTGTAATTAAAGAAAAGGTGGTTTAACCCATATAATAAGGTATAACAAAATAAAATGAAATGTGCGTTAATATTGTCGATTTACCCACCCGTAGCACCTGGGTTCACCCTTATGAATAGGTGGAGTTCGTGTTCCCCAATCTGTTGTCGATATACCCATCCGTAGCACCTAGGTTCACCCTTAGGAATAGGTGGAGTTCGTGTTCCCCAATCTGGTGTTTTCTGATTATTGTTTTGTTGACTGTTCGTCTTTTTCTTTTCTGCATGATGTTGTCTGGATTTCATCGACTTGCGGTTTTTCATTTCTCCTTTGGTATATTCTTTCCTTTTTGAAATATATAAAACAAAATCTCAAATTTACAGAATGTATCCTTAAGTTTTGTTTGCGTTTTTGCCTATTATTTTAAAAACTGTAATAGCTAGATAAATAGAAAGTTTAAAAAGCAAAAATGGTCAGCAAGACAAGTTCTACAAATAATTCAAATAGCTGAAACTGTTGATCGATTCCCCATACTAGTTAATGCCCTTAAATGACGACTTTAAATAAACTTGTTTCGTTAATTCGTATTTGCTTATTATTTTAAGAACTATAATAGATAAAGAGAAAATGAAAAAGGAAATACTATCAAGACAAGATCTACAAATTTGTTAATATGGCTGAAATCGTCTGTCGTCTCCTTATAGGGTTTATTGCCACTAAATGACGGTTAATGTCATTTTGTTTGCATTTTTAACCAAAACTGTATTGGTAAAACAAACTGAAAACAGCAAAATGATCAGCAAGACAAGATCTGAAAATGTATCAACTTGACTGAAATTGTCAATCGACTCCTTCCAGTGAAGTTTTACCCATGTTTTTGCATATTATGCATTAACTGTAATATATAAAGAAAAATGTAAACAGAAAACATACTCAGCAAGACAAGTTCAACAAAACAATATCTTAGTTATGAATTATATTCTAGTCTTCAATGTTGAAAAAGGTCCAAGTGATCCCTTAGTTTTCCACACTGTACGAATATTGTATATATTTTTTCGACACTATAACGTTAAATATTTTGAATTGGACTGTAAATATTCAAACCTAAATGTTGCTGCAAAAACTGATCTGAAAGGATTGGTCAATAACTAAAGCGATTGAAGAAAATCATAAAATAAAATTGCTTTAATTTTTTTTTCATATCAGGTGATTACAAAGACTTATTGTTACGCTACATTGATCCAGACAATTTACCAGCCTGCTATGGTGGAAAGTTAACAGATCCAGACGGAAATCCTAATTGTGCTTCTATGGTGAGTTCATAGGTCACGGTGTCAACATGTGAGACTAGACTAAAACCAATACCAACTGTTTGTTTGTGTGTCGTCTAATTCTTGTCTTCATATGCTTTCACACTTTATGAAGACCAGTGTTACAATGGCGGAGATCAATCAGACGACATTTGATGATTGTCCAATTATGTAACATAGAGGTGAATCAAATGCAAACTGACAGTTCCAGCGCAATAAATTAATGTAGGAATGCCAATTGGTGAAAATAAACTCATCATAGATACCAAGCTTAAAATTTTGTACGCCGGATGCGCGTTTCGTCTACAAAAGACTTATCAGTGACACAATTAAAAGTACAAATAAAGTACATGGTTTACAAATACAGCTAAGGTTCCCTGGTATAAAATCTTTAGTATTTTGAAAAAAAGTTTTGTAAACAGTTAATCTATATATATGAAAGATATCAATTTGGTAAATATAGAAAAAATACAATGTTCGAGTAATGTTCACTTTTATCTCACGGAAGTGTCTCCAATCCGTCTTGGTAACCAATGATCCTCAAAATGGGGAGCAAACAAAAGTTTTATGTACACTAAAGACGAGCCCAACGGACGACCATCTTAACCATAGGTTTTATTGCCTGATAGATGAGCATATTTCTATACTTAAGTTAACTCTCGGGTTCACGAAAAACGTTTTTTTATTTTTTCTGCGGTATTTAGATTTGGAACTCGAGCATAGTCGTCTGTATTTAAATGCATGAATAGAAGGAGAAACTTTTGTCTTGGTTAATACATTCCTCATGACTTTGTGGGTTTTGAACATCGGTTATTATAAGTATTGTAGCCTCTTATATGTTTTTAATCATCATATTAAATTTAGAATCTAGCATAAAACTGAAAGGTGGCGAGGCAACATTTGTTGTTCCGAAAGGGAACACTAGTGGCACCCATCGTGTTACTAGAATATGAAGTTGCATTGTGTCTGTCATGACATGATTGTAAACCTAAGACTTTATGCAAGTAGGAATTTTTCTGTAAAGCATATTTATTTTTTAGATTGGTCAAGGAGGACCTGTGCCAAAAGAGTTTTATCTAGAAAATACTGACTTTAATTTACAACTGCAAACTGCAACTGTCCCAAATGGCGATAAACTGTACTTGGAATATATAGTTGAAAGAAAAGGGAGTGTTTTAAGGTAATTTCGTAATCAACTTGTCAATTTCCTTAAAATGATTGCTTTCTTTTGTTATATTCGAGAAGAAATTGTGGCCGCAGAATGAACAAGTGTCGAATATTGAGAAACATCAGCAGTTAGAAAAGTGTTTAAAAATGTATTATAAAAATACCGACCTCCAAGGTAAATTCAAAGTGGGGAAGTCCATAAAAATAACCAAACGTCCGATTATATCAACCAATTCAACGATACGTCTGGAAAATAACTATAATATTCCTTATACAGATATTTTTCGAAGAAAATTATGGACTAAACCTCTATCTAGTAGCTAGTTGAACATCCCACTTGTATGACAGTTGTATATTGTTCCATTATATTGACAAAAACGTGTGAGCAACCTAAACAGACATAATTTGTTAACGCGGCAATAATTGGGATCCAGCAGTCAAACGTGTGTAAACATTGATCATAGATATATAACATAAGTAAATTAAATAATTCAAACACATTTACAATTAATCTAACAAAAACGTCAACAAAAAAAGTTTCAGTGGTTGATAGAATGATCTAGTACAGTATAGTAAAACTTAATGACTTAAACACTTTCCCAATCAAGTACAGATTAAATCAAATATGAATACGAGGGAACACAAAATGGAAGTTACACTATACTAATTTCATGTGTCCGAAGCGCACCTCTGGACCCACCTGCATCAGGAACGTCCAAACCGAAACCCCCAAAATCCGAATTTACGAATAAGAGATACGACAAATGCTATACGACCGACATTGACATAGTAGTACAATAAAAAATAAAGTGAAAATTGTCAAGTAAATAAAATGATACACAGCGTCAATCGGGGATAGAAAAATCAAAATCCAGGGGACCATACACGGACATGCAAATAAACTCATCATAGATGCAAGGATTGAAATTTTGTACGCCAGACGCGCGTTTCGTCTACAACAGACTCATCAGTGACGCTCGAATCAAAAACAGTTAAAAAGGCAAAATAAAGTACGAAGTTGAAGAGCATTGAGGACCCCAAATTCCTGTAGTTTTGCCAAATATAGCTAAGATAATCTATTTCTGGGGTAAAAAATCCTTAGTATTTCGAAAAATTAAAAGTTTTGTAAACAGTTAAAAGGTAAAATCACAAAAATACTGAACTCCGAGGAAAATTCAAAAAGGAAAGTCCCTAATCAAATGGCAAAATCAAAAGCTCAAACACATCAAACGAAAGGATAACTTAATTTATAACTATGACCATATCAACGATAATTCATGGCATGGCTGACTACTAGGCTGGTAATACCATTGGGGAGAAAAACTCCACCAGCAGTGACACCGAAACAGTGGTTGTAAATAAACTCATCATGGATACCAGGATAGAAATTTTGTACGCCAGATGCGCGTTTCGTCTACAAAATACTCTTCAGTGAATCAGTCAGATGTTCTAACAAACAAAAAAGACCTTTGCGAATTCCAAACGCTTTAAAAAAGAGGCGAACGATACAAAGTGACATTCAAACTTATTAGTCGAAAATAAACTGACAACAGACAAACAACAGTACACAAAACACAACATAGAAAACTAAAAACTGACAACACGAACCCCATCAAAAATTGTGGGTGATCCCAGGTGCTCCAGAAGGGTAAAAAGATCCTGCTCCCCATGTGGCACCCGTCGTGTTGCTCAGGTAGGTACAAACCCGATGATAGTCTAATTCGGTAGGTCACATTCGGGGAAAATTAAGCTAAAGATATTTGCAAAGTATAGTTTATTGTCAGCTCTTTTATATACAATCGATTCCATAACATTGTTTCAGAATGAAGAAATCCACCATTTGCTCTTTCTGTATAATTCTTCATACAATAGCATTGAGTGCTTAATATATCATTTAGATAACTATAAAAAAAATCTATTTGCAGAGCTTGATATAATTTAAATGTAATAAGTGAAAGGATATTGAATAGTTTCTGTCAGTTTTTATTTTAATTTTCATACTCTATATGAAAGAGATGAAATATCTTTTAATTTATATTGTTTTCATTTTTTTTCAATTTGCTTTTTTTCAGTTGGGAATTTAAAACTGAAGACCATGACATAGGATTCGGACTTTTCTATTGGGAAAATGAAAAATATAAACCAATACTACCTCTAGAAAGAACAGATAGTAATGTTGTAATTCAAGATGGCACCTACACTTGTGACAAAGTTGGAAAATGTAAATATTTTAAAATGCTGTTTCATCATTCTTTAGTTAATAGTTGAAAACAAATTAGTACGATGAAGTCAATGATACATAAAGAATATCCGTATTTATTATTACGGTTATGTAAGAGTATAGGAAGACTATTACGTATGAAGCAGATTCAAAATGAAAATATCACTCAATAGATATGATGCGTTAGAACCGCTTTTTTATTTACCTTCATCAGTAACGCTCAAACTCCAAAATTTTAAGGGCATACAATACAGTAGAGATCCCTCGTTGATTTTTTCTTGAAATTTTGGTAGAAGGTCAATTTCGATGTGTACTTTTGAAATATGCAAAGAAAAATATACCTTCATGACTTACTTTTTGAGATAATTTGGTTTGAAATTTGCATATTTGAAGGGAAAACCCTGAAATTTCATAAAAAAGGACTTTTAAAGAAAGTTACAATACTTTTGAACGAACAGTCATAACTTAACCGGGTTTTTTGTAAAATGTTCCCTTGATCCATGGCATGACCATGCTGTAACAAGTTTAAGGTTAAACAAAATTGTTGTTTTCTGAATTTACTTTACTATTAGTGAAATAAAGAAATTGACAATATTTTTGCGTCTATTCAGAAGTGCAGAAAAAAATCGATCGTTGATTTTTTCTTAAAATTTTGGCGGAGTGTTCTTTAAATATTACTTGATTGATTGCAAAAGAAAAAACTGGGGGTCCATGTGCTTGTTTTTTCAATAAAAGCAATAAACCTTGATTTTTAATTGCCAGCGGGACGTTTGCCAATAGGGCGCTAAACTACGTTGAAATAAGTTTTAATCGCAATAACGTCGTCAAATCATTCCCGCCGTTCATGATTACGCTGTCAAGTTCAGTGGTATAGCCAAGTTTTTTTTTCGAAAGCAATGATATTATTCATCAAAATTTTTAAAGCTGGTTACTCGTAAACTAGCATAAAATATTTGCCAAACCTTTATGAATTGTTACGAATCTTGTACATGTTGGATACAAAAAGTATTCTAGTAAATTACTTTTAGAAAAGAAATGTTCGGAAACATAAAAAGATAAATTTTATAAAAATAAATATTTCATAATCAAAATATAATAATAACAATAAAAATAAATGGGGAATGTGTCCATGGGACACAGATGATGCCCCCGCTTGCATATAACGTTATAAAGGGATATAACTCAAGAACTGTAAAAGTGACGCTACCCAAATTTGTACTTGATCTGAGTTTTGCGGTAATAAGCATTGTGCGTAAGTTTCATAACATTTGGTTGAGGCAAACTAAAATTAGAGAACAGAAACAAATATTTCAGAAATTTTTCCATTTGTTAAGGGGCATAACTCTAGAACGGTAAAAGTGACCCCACCAAAATTCAAACTTGTCATGTCTTCTTTGACTGTCCATGACGTTAAAATACTAAATCCCTGGGATGTGTTTTAGTTGATTTTAGTCTCTGATGCATGATTTTTTATTATTAATTGTTTTGGCTTTTAACTAGCTGTCAGTAACTGCGAGTACTCTCAAATCGTACTTTCTTGTTTATTTGACCTGTTGATACTAATTGTATTGCTTTTTTGTTATTTAATGTTATTCAGGGTTATATCTGGTCTATATACCAGCTTTGATAAGTGTTTGGTATAACTATAAATTTTCACTTCGTACTATGAACATCAAAATTATTTATTTTGTAAAAATATTTCCTTTCTCCATTGGTACTATACACGTATACCTAACAACAAAATTATTTTCATTTACCTGTGTTTAAAGTTAGTGCAAATGGCTGATATTTTTGTTCGAGCATTTTGTTTTTCTTTAATTGTTTAACATTTCTTACCGATATAACATGTTACTTTTATTATTCTTCCCTTAGTTTATTTATTTTATATTTACATTGTGTCATAGGTCAAATTTATTTGTTCAGTGTATGTTCAATGGTGTTAATATGTCCTTTGATTGAGTTAAGCTATTTCAGTTGATATTTTATAGTGTGTCTTTCTATGTTGCGATGTTACACTATTGTTTCGGAAAAAGGGTGAAGGTCTGGTACCATTAAAACGTTTAAACCCGCTGCATTTGTTTGCACCTGTCCTAAGTCAGGAATCTGATGTTCAGTAGTTGTCGTTTGTTGATGTGGTTCATAAGTTTTTCTCGTTTCTCGTTTTTTATATAGATTAGACCGTTGGTTTTACACTAGTAATTTTTGGGGCCCTTTATAGCTTACTGTTCGGTGTGAGCCAAGGCTCCGTGTTGAAGACCGTACTGTGACCTATAATGGTTTACTTTTATAAATTTTGACTTGGATGGAGAGTTGTCTCATTGGCACTCATACCACATCTTCTTATATCTATTGATCTGTGTTTTGTGGTAATAAGCATTGTGTATAAGTTTCATAACATTTGGTTGAGGCAAACTAAAGTTAGAGAACGGAAACCAATTTTGGGACGTACGTACGTACGTACAGACGGACAAGGGTAAAACTTAATGCCCCCTCCGCTACGGCGTTGGCATAAAAAATAATTTGCATCTCAGTCCGACATTAGTCCTTCAACTCATGCAGACAACACAGCTTGGGCATATTTTTAATTATTCAAAAGGTCCCAACATGACAAAATATGAAACAATTATCAAGTAAGTGGGATAATATAAAAAAAAGGACATTTGGTATGATTGCCAATGAGACAACTATCAACCATATTTCAAATTACGAAGATAAACGCAATTAAGGGTCACCGCACGGCCTTCACCAAAAAAAAAGCCTCACTGTTTAGTCAGCTTTAAAAAGCCCCGACATGAAAATGTGAACAATTCAATTAAGAAAACTATCGGCCTACTATATAGGCATTATATGAACACAAAACCATACCCACATTAACTCGGGTCAGCTTAGAACAACTCTGAACATGTTCAAAAAGGTGTATATTTAGAGCTGTTTCGAGCAAATTCATGTCGTTATTGTCTCAATAAAGTCCATTACGGTGTAGTTTAACATTTCATAGGAAGTACAGCAGTCGGTAAAATTGCATGATTTTGTATCAATAGATAAGTTGCCTAAGTTTATTTGTCTTCAGGGTATTTTTATACCCCCGCAACTGAAAGTTGGGTGGCGTATTGTTTTACACCTGTCCGTCTGTCCGTCCGTCATTCCGTCTATAATACGGGGCTTATAACTGTGTCTTTTAAACTGACAGTTCTTTTTCATACACATATGTATTCCACTGGGTTAAATTCTAAAAATGCCGTTAAACTTTTTAATGTACTTATTCAAAGTCAGGTGCAGTATGAGGCGTTGTCTTTATTAATCATGTTATTTTGTCATTTTGTTGATAGTCTCTGTTAAATTTATTTGCACAATTCTCCATACAGTTTTCCAAATGGTGTAGATATTATATATAGATCAAGACAGTACGTTAATATCTAAATTACATTTAATTACTTATTGGTCTTTTTGTTTAGTTGGGTTTCTGTCTCATCGACGTATCATTATTTGCATATCTGTTATTCATTTCCTATATGAAATAAAACATATACAAGAGTATGAATGTGGATTTAATTTTTTTTTTCACATTTCAAGTTAATACTGTTGACCTCAATATTAATGAATGAATATAACAATTTTCGTGATATGGCCGATTTTCTTGGCAGGTAATTTTTTTTCAAATTCGCGCAACCGGATTTGTGACGTCACTGGATTTTCCGCAAATGTGACTACATTTTTAAATAAAAAACGACGTCACGAAATGTAATCGTTCTTATTAGAAACTTCGCGAAATTACAACGTTCTGATTAACAACGTCGCGAAAACAACACGAACAGTTTTGAAAACGTTATTATCTGCCCCTGCTACTGTATCGTATTCCCTTAAGGCAACGTATGTATACGTACCTGAAGTTGTGAGGAACTATATGACAAAAAGGGGCATAAAAAGAATACCCAATACATCTAAGGTCTGCTTTGACCAAGGGAGTTGGAATCTTTGTTTCCTAATAATTTATAAATTCATCAAAAAGTAAAATAACAAAAATACCGAACACCGAGGAAAATTTTAAACGGAAAGTCCCTAAGCAAATGGCAAAATCAAAAGCTCAAACACATCAAACGAATGGATAACAACTGTCATATTCCTGACTTGGTACAGGCAATTTCTTGTGTAGAAAATGGTGGATTAAATCTGGTTTTATAGATAGCTAAACCTCTCACCGATAATTTTAGAAACGTTTGTTATAAATCAAACCAGTGACGAAGCTCTTACTCCTGAGCGGGGAATACCATCGTAGACTTTAGTCCACCCATGGTTGTATCGACTCAGCGCTAGAAAATGAAAATAGCACTTTAAAAATGTAATTCGTTCGAAACTCTTTTTTGATGAACTTTCATCAGGAACGTTCAAAACGAAATATTTGAAAGTCAAGGATGTGCAAGTTTAATAAACATATTTTACCCAAAAAAAAGTAAATGCTATTTCCTAAGATTTGTCGATTAAATGGGAAGTTTATCGACGATATCTAAGGAATACCGAGTTCTTGTTATAAATTTTATTCATACATCCTGGTCTTTTTGCGATCACGTGATCAACTATTTGTAGAGATTCCATTAAGTATTGATAACTGTTATTCTCTGTTTAACAAAAACACATTATTTGTTAATTTTTAAATACTTTCCCATTTTTAGATTTCTTGTGCTTTGATAACAGTTTTAGTTGGACACGATCAAAGAAATTGCGATATACATGTGATGTTTTTGCGCCTGTTGAAACCTCAATGATTACGGAGATAAATAAACTGGTGGGAGACTGTGATTGGAAAACATTATCAGAAAAGTTTGAAACGACTCATTTATGAACAACTTTGTGTATTTTTTGTTGTTCGCATATGATGTCAAAGCAAAAAAAATGGAGGATATGATTTCAAGAATGAATACCTGACGAAAGATGCAAATAAATGATTTAGTACAAGTGTACTCACAAATTAACTTATAAATTGAAATAGAGTGTGCTTTGATTGAAGAGATATGAACTATGTTTTACAACCTGCACTATCATCTTTATATGATTCTACGCAGGTCATTTCAAATTTTGTTATTATTATTTATTTGAGACTAATCAAAATATATAATAACTAACAGTATTTAAAGTATTATTAGTGTTAAAACTGTGTATTTGTGTTGTATTATTGGGCCACGTGGTGCTGATACAAACTTTCATATTGTATGAAAACTTGTAACCGTTTAGAAGCAAGCATGCCACCACGATACACTGTGCAGAATGGGTAAATCTGCAGTAGTTATCATTATTTATTACTTTTAAATATACTTATTTACTAATTGCTATATTGGATTATATTTACTGAAACTATAAGAATTTTAGTTTTAATGGTAGAAACTCAATTGACAAAACACATTTTACATAATCGCTACACTGCTTCATTTAAAATGTTCTACGTTAGTTCTATTCATATTGCTTTAAATTACAAAAGATTGGTTTATTTCATAAATGAGGGTGTGGATGGGGGTTTACAAAATAGAGAATAATGGGCAAAAAATATAAAGAATACAGAAAAATGGACCAAAAAAATAAAGAATAGAGAATAATGAGGTGCTCAAATATAAAGAATAGAGAATAATGGACAAAAAGTATAAAGAATGGAGAAAAATGGCCTAAAATATTAAAGAATACAGAAATGGAGGATCCCCCCATCCAGACCCTCATAAATGATTTCCAAAATATTAAACAAGTAGTAAGAGTGGTGTTTGCCAATATTTTGTTATAGGACAATGTAAGGAAATTTGTATTTCGTTATCAACAATCGTTTCCATCCGATAAATATTTTTTTCACACATTTATTTATTTTCTAAAAGATCAACTAGATGATCATTAATCAAAATATAATACAGTCATTTTCGATGAATTATGTTGCATTCTGGTATACTTGTTCAACTATACTGATTTTAATATCATTTTGGCAGCTTTCATCTTTTATTTGAGAATAAGATATAGTATTTTCCGTATGAATGTGATGTAACGGGAAGAAAGTATTGTAATGATTTTAAACATCTTTAAAAGGATGGTAGTCAAGAATATGGCAAAAGGAAAAGAAAAAAGAATTATTCCTACATTTGTTATAGTCTTTTTACGATTAGACTGTTGTATTAAATGATTATTTGAAGATGCAACACATGATTCTTTCTTTGTTGGATACTGATTTCAAATACTAGCGCAATTGGGAAAAATTCATCGGCACAGTCAATGAATTGTTTTAAATTGTTTTAAATTGGTATATCATAGAGTATAATAAAATCACTGAACGATTTTAATTATTGTCGACTTTTATCAAAAAGGAGTCGTCTTCAGTCTTTCTTCTATTCTAAGCTGATACATGTGATATATTTGCAAATTCTCAAGGTAAAATCTCATTACGGCTTATTTGAACATGCATGATTATAGCCATTAAAACTTTTAGTTCTGAGAGTTCTTTATGTAGATGAATAAAAAAAATATGTTTCAGACGCAACAAATGCCATGTATGTTTTGACCAATATGCTAATTTTTCTCAATTTTAGTATCATTGAAAAATATATACATAGAACCAAAAAGCACTATTTTTCTTATTTATCTAGCAAAATCCTATACTAGACCGTGCATGCTTATCATAAAAACAATCATGTACAATAAAAGTAATGTCACAACAAGAGAACAAATATCTGTATGTTGTTGGATGTAAAAGAAAAGATAAGTTCGCAGTGAATATTTACTACGCTGAACACTGTATGTTTTATATCCTTTTTAAGTATACCAGTATATCGTTTTCTGTTATATTATGTTCATGTCACATTTGAAGTATTTATAATAAAATTATGTTTTTTATTTTATACAAATATGATTTTTTTTTCTTTTTTTTTGTCGAAAAAACTGACATTTTTTTTTTTTTTTTGCTACAATGGTATAGTGCAGTTTATTCAGCCAATTAAACATTAAACATTGAAGTCTGAAATGCCTCTTTACCATGTAGATAAGCTTTGAGTAGTGATTTCAACAAATTACAATCATTTCACACCTCTGTACGCCGCATTTGGAGTCACAGCAATCGCAAATATACACCATTTTATATACATATGTGATTCATTTGTACGTTGTTCAAACATCTTTTAGAATTTACCACATTCGAACTAAGCCGTTTTCCATAACGTTTTCCATAACGTCTAAGTAAGATGTATAGGAATCAGACAATAGGGTAATGTAATCTTTGAAAGAATCCTTAATGACTCTGTCTTCCTAAAGCTGTATTTTCTGAATATGCTCTGGTTTTGAAATTACTGTTTATATTGGTGTTGATGAAATGAGATAGATTATATAATCACATCTTGACAATAAAAATATTTTAAGTCAGTGTTCAATCAATCGAAAAAAAATATATGTTTCGTTGAATACTATTTTAGAGGGTAACGATGAACTGCGAAATCTAGTGTTCAACAAAATACAAGTTACCAATTGATTTTTATACAGAATTTGTAAAAAACTATGAGATCAAGTATCCCCGAACGAGAATAAGTGCCCATGAAATAAAAATAAACCGACAGTATATAACATCAGTAGAAGGATTTATATTGATAAAAGTGAGTGACGGTACATATCGCAGAATAGGTTTTGAAAATAGCACTCTATCAATTCGGTACGCCCAAAGTGCTTGTCTCGACCCAACGCCATTAGGAACACTTAAATCAAACGTTTTGAAAGCTAACTCTGCTATCATTTCTTAACAGACTTGTCTTCATAATTCTGATAAAATATAAAAAAGAAGATGTGGTATGATTGTCAATGAGACAACTCTCCACAATAGACCAAATGACACAGAAATTCACAACTATAGGTCACCGTACGGCCTTCAACAATGAGCAAAGCCCATACCGCATAGTCAGCTATAAAAGGCCCTAAAATGACAAATGTAAAACAATTCAAACGAGAACACTAACGGCCTAATTTATGTACAAAATAATGAACGAAAAACAAATATATAACACAGCAACAAACGACAACCACTGAATTACAGGCTCCTGACTTGGGACAGGCGCATACAGAATGTGGCGGGGTTAACATGTTAGCGAGCGCCCAACCCTCCCTCTAACCTTGGACAGTGGCGTAACAGTACAACAATAGAACAAACTATAAAAATCAGTTGAAAAAGGCTTAACTTATCAGATGGATACAAATAGACCTACATCTAACAAAAACACAGAGTAGACGTGGACGGGTACTTGTACATCCCAACAACAAAAAGACGCTTAGTTGAGTTTTTTTCATTTTTTTTTACAACATCAAAAAGGAAGTAACAGGTAAACTTTGAAAATATGATCGTAAACATCGAGACAAATAAACTCTTGAAATGAAATTGATTTTCCCTGAAAACACACGACATCGTTTGCATGCATTAAAATCATTTGTTCGTTCATTCAAAGACAAAAAAAGAGTAGTGTTCTATGAGTAGGTTCTGTCATTTTAATCACCAGAATGGTGTTGATTTTCTGCTTCATATATGGGTCTTTCTCTAAATAAACGGAGTCAACCACCGACCGGCAGGAAAAATTTTAATCTTAGTCAATTAAGATTGGAAGCGAACGCATCTGTCCTGTTTTATAACTTTACTCTTCACTTAACTTTTCAAATAAAATATTTAGAAAAAGTGAAAATATAATAAGAGTTTTCATTTTGTACCCCATAGGAAGCATTTTTTACATGTCAGATTGTGAGCTTTTACATTAAAAAGTATGCTAAAATAAATTAAATGTATAAACTGGGCAATTTCTACTTCGTTAATTGTAATGTCTGTATAATATTCATCTTCAATCTGGCATAGTCATATTTGACTTTTTAGGCTAGGAATGTGGGTTTTGTTTTGTAATTATAGTGTGTTGAATTGAATCACGATTATTTGAAGCCACGATAATTACAATTACAGTGATGTTGGTTTACATTATAAAACAGTCTTCAATCAAAATTTTAAGTTCGACTTAACCTGTTGCAAAAAAGTATAACAAAAATACAGAACTCCAAGGTAAATTCAAAAAGGAAAGTACATAAAATATGACAAAATCAAACGTTATCAACCAAAGGAACGAGTGAAAAACAACTGTCATGTTCCTGACTTGGTACAGGCATTATGATGTTTGATCTTACACAATACGCCCTTCATTTCTCTTTTTTTTAATTTTAAGACGTGCATTACCTTTTGTTTGTTTTAAATCACCACATACAAATGTACACCTAAATTGTATGCATAAATATAAGACAAATAAGGGGTAAAAAGTAAAATCACAAAAATACTGAACTCCGAGGAATATTCAAAAAGGAAAGTCCCTAATCAAATAAACGGAAATGAGTCCAAACCCTTTAAATACAACAGAAAAGACATCTGGGTGCCAACATACGGTCTTCTAATCTTAGAACGTCTTCTCCTCATATACAATTTATTAAAATATATAGCATTCATTTATTTTCCTACAATTCTTAACATTATGATAGTATTTACATTTGACAAAAAAGAAAAGAGATATAGAGGTAGAGAAAGGGGATGGGTAAAACATATTTGTGTGTGTGTGTGTTTCAATCACAATGTGCTTCTAACATGTATAGTTTTCTTGATTTCGTTTATATGTTAGCGTTATATTTCTGCAACCCAGGCCAACAGCTCTAAATCGAAGACAAGACTGTCAGACAATCAGTTTAAATTGATATTTAAGATAGTCCTATAAATTTGGTGAAGAAGGCAATACAAAACCTTATAACGTTAAATGTCTGCTAGAAATAAAACTACCACGATATGTCGTAAAAGGTGTTTCTGAAATAAAGGGAGGGATATCGGTAAACAATTTGTCCGGCTTTTCTGTTTGTAATTCAATTAATTCATGTTACCTATTCTGACATAGGACTCGGACTTCTTTTAAATTGAGTTTTACGGTGCGTATTGCTGTTTGTTTGTTTATTCTACACTGGCTAGAGGTATATGTTGAGGGTTGAGATCTAACAAAACATCTTTAACACCGCAGCATTTTTGCGCCTGTCCCATTTCAGGAGCCTCTAGCCTTTGTTAGTCTTGTATGTTTTTTAATTTCAGTTTATTTATATGTTTCGGAGTTTAGTGTGACGTCCATGTTCATTGAACTAGTACACATTTTTGTATATGGGCCAGCTGAAGCCCGCCTTCGGGTGCGGGATTTTTTCGCTGTGTTGAAAACCCATTGGTGGCTTTGGGCTGTTTTCTGCTCTTTGATCGGGTTGTTGTCTCTTTGACACATTCCCAATTTCCATTCTCAATTTTATTCATGATTGCTTAATGTTGTCTGTAGTGGCAAATATTACATGCATATTAAGGACGAGAACAAATAAACAATTAAGAAAACACCAGGATAAAAGGTAGGGAATTACCTGGATAAAGGGCATGTAATTTGGACTGCCACTAAAAATGAGATTTACATTATGTCAATAGGGGCAGTGAATTTGACTTGAAACGAGCCACCTACGGATCCCTCAAAGGGGATTTATTTCAACTGGATATCAATCTCTTTTGCAAAGTATTTTCGTTAATAAAAATTCTCCCTTCCACATCATTGACCTCTTTCATAAAAGTAGGACAATTTACACGTGAAGATATTAAGTGTTATTTACGTCGCAAAAAAACATTTAAAAAATGTTAACAAAGTGTACATATTCAAATCTGGAAGTTTGTCGCGTTTTAAATCATTATTTTGTTTGAAATATTCCATAGCGTCTTAAACCTTAATTATCGTTTGATACACAATATATATACGGAATATGATCTGGTGATATATTGTTGTCCCATTTCCCAATCTCCTTTAGTCCTACTTTATATGACATAATACACACAGATTGCATGCATGTTTTAGAATGTGCTGAAATTGCTTTTTTCTAATTCTTTAACCGCTATACGTTCCAATAAGGGGACGACCATCTGATATTCTGGGGGGAGGGGGTTTCAAGAGTTTTTTTTGCGGATTGATCATTTATTGTCATCTGTTGTTACGCCTGTTTATTTTTTCCGCATTTATTTTCACTTTTTACACACTTGTATCCTCAACTATTCTGATTTGATTTGGAGAATAGTTATTTTCATCCTGTCTTGTGCAAAGTCATTTATTGTTTATTGTCAGTTCATCCTAGGCCAAGTTACTCATTTTCGAATCCTCCTCTCCCCCATCCCAAACCCCCACACCACACCACTGAGTATAAACAACGGGTTTCCAAAAAGACGTTTCTGAGTGGTTGAAATATATAGGTTAACTTACAATAAAGTATAAACTGACACAGGAGTCCACAATTGGTTGATACAATTGACAATAATATAAATTCCCATGGCATTAGGAACAAGTTACAATACGGTAATATAAATCTTGTGTATGTCTATTTAAAAATGTTTGTTGTAAAGTAAGGAATCTGATATACTACAGCCAAACTAATAAATGCTTGAGGTCACTTCAATATGAAAATCAAAAATAATATAAAAGTATGGAAAATGAAGCGGAGGTAAATACCAATGAGAAATCTATAAGAGCAACAAAATAGGAAAAATCGGAAAATACGAGCCTTCAACACTAAACAAGGTACGCACAGAAAGTTCCAAAATACGACCACAAAATAAATTACAACTCGGAAGAAAATTAAACAGTCTAATATTTAAAACAACTAGTAGCAACAACATGGAAGATAAAAACTAACTACTAGAATACATAGGGTGATTGATTCATGGTGCTTAATGCCACTTTAATATAAAAAATAAAGAGATGTGGTATGATTGCCAATGAGACAACTATCCACCAAAGGTCAAATGAAGTGGATTAAGCACGCTTCATTATATCGTGGCAATCAGTGTTTATTGGTGGAGGAAGCCGGAGTACCCGGAGAGAACCACCAACCTTCGGCAAAACAAATTGTCATTTTCATATAATCAGTTAAGATAGGAGTGGAACGCACCTGCCATGAGGGGGACTAGAACTCACAACATCAATGGTGAGAGGCTAATGATCGCTTTAGATGAACTACTTAGACATATCGACAACCATATTTGAATCTAAGTTCTTGGCATAAAGAATGTATTGGGTAAACTTATTTGATAGCGTTCAAGCCATCTCTTACTTTTAGTCTGTGGTATTACAAGAAGATTGCCCATTTTAAAATATATAGTATTTGCGGCCGGTTTTTTGTTCATTAACATTAATTCTTTTTTGTTTTTTATCTTATAAAGAACAAGCAAGTGGGGCAGTTTACGATTACGATGGGTAAAATATAGACAATGGGAGGCAACTTTAAAATGATATCATGGTAATTGTGTACGCTTAGTGCAGGAAAAAAAGTCTCATTACCTTGAACTTTCATCTAAGTTCTTTATTGGAAGTTTAATCGTGTATCAAGGGCTATAAAAGGTTGTGAGGATAAACAAGTATAAAAGTTGTTGAATATTAAAATTACTTTTATTACAATATATGTTTACGACTTTAACTACCAACATAAATCTTAGTACTCGGAGAATAACTGCAATGCTTAGCCGGTTGTAATTTTATTATCAGCTACGGGTATTTCTAAATTTCGATGTTTACAATGTAGTTGACATTGTTTGGTCATTTGTGCTCCTGGGATACTGTCTCGTTGTTTGGTCGTGTGTGCTCCTGGGATACTGTCTCGTTGTTTGGTCGTGTGTGCTCCTGTGATACTGTCTCGTTGTTTGGTCGTGTGTGCTCCTGGGATACTGTCTCGTTGTTTGGACGTGTGTGCTCCTGGGATACTGTCTCGTTATTTGGTCGTGTGTGCTTCTGGGATACTGTCTCGTTGTTTGGTCGTGTGTGCTCCTGGAATACTGTCTCGTTGTCTCGGATACTGTCTCCTTGACATATACCATACATCTCATTTAATGAAACAATTAACGTAGTGAAAATGGGCTGGCTAAACAGAGCAAAATGCAGTACTTCACTTTAGTTATCGTGATTACTTTTGTCTATCTGTTCAAGATTAGGGGTACTCTTTTATAATATTTGATTTTGACTGTTCACTGGCTAGATATAAACATCCGCGTATGGAGCATTTTATTAACTTAAGTATGCTGTAGTTTGGCCTTGACAAAAAACAAACAATTAAAACTGAGAGGAAGCAATCAAAATCATTAGTATGCCTACACGAAATAACTATACATATACCACAAAAATTTTAGAGGAAAAAATGAACCAGAAGTACGTCCGTAACCATTCAAAGTTAATTTTGATATTATCAAGAAAGCAATACAGATCCTTTGGGACCTCTTGTAAAACAATTTTGTATCATTGACTATGTGATCTCATTTAAGACTTATTTCTATGTCATATAGTATGCATTCAAACAAGGGTTGCACGCGTTGTTGTGATAAACGTTCCGTCATAAGTATTTTATAAGTATCAGAAAACAGGAAGAAGGTGTCGGACAAATTCGAAAAGCGCTCCTGAATTTCACACTCATTATTGTCCAGCTGCTGACCAAATATGAAGTAATTCTGTTCAGTAGCATCTAAAAAAAGTGTAACGAAAATATTTGTTTGACAAACGGACGGATAAGGTTAATAGCATCCCCCTCCCCTAATTCTATAGTTGGGGTATAATAATGTTGAAATAAAAGGTTTTGGACCATGTGAAAAAATCATGACGGGAGCAACGTCTTATTCGCCAACTATCCGTGGGTTATTTAATTCAAAATTATATACCGTTATTCATACAGAAATATTGCTACCATTTAAATCTTTTGTCATCGATCGCCTGTTGTTGTAATATATTTTTATGATTTCACATACCGTATCATTTACAAGAAGACATCGTCGACAAATCAACAATGTGCCTATTTTAATTTTCAGGATTTATCAAAATGAACGAGTCCAATGTTAACTCGAACAATATCTACATGAAAAAACCTTTGACGGCGAAGGAGGAACACGCACTTCAACAGGTATGTCACATGCAAGGACAGAAAATCATCATTCAAGATTTCCGTCGTAAAAACAGATTCTAATTGAACTAAACGTTTATACCGCAAGTAAATAGATTGCGCCTGTCCCAAGTCAGGAGCCTCTGGCCTTTGTTAGTCTTGTATCACTTTTTATTTTAGTTTCTTGTGTATAATTTGGAGTTTAGTATGACGTCCATTATCACTGAACTAGTATACATACTTGTTTAGGGGCCAGCTGAAGGACGCCTCCGGGGGCGGGAGTTTCTCGCTGCATTGAAGACCCATTGGTGGCCTTCGGCTGTTGTCTGCTCTATGGTCGGGTTGTTGTCTCTTTGACACATTCCCCATTTCCATTCTCAATTTTATTAGTTTCAATCTTTGCAGCGAAAACACGACTGTAGTTTTCATTATTTCGGCATGCTGAAGAGTGTATTTATAAGTTCTATTCAATGACATTCTATTGCTATAGGAAATGTACTTTGAAGTGCAATGATAAATATTATAGTGTAAAAAAGTATGAATTATATACCAGCATGTAAGGTATTTTGAACTCTCTTTTAATTGATATTTTGTCTACTCGTGTTGTCATTTTTCGGAGCTTGGTATACAGTTCGGGAACTTGTCTATCACAGAAAACCGTTTGTCGACCTTTGGGCGTCGTTTTTTGTCTTGCTTAATTGTTGTGTTGCTATTTCGTTGGAAGGAGGAGTAACAGCCCCTGTTTGTCCCTAAACTTTCAAAAATGAATAATTCTTCATTCCTTTCAAAGTAAGGTTGATGTATTGATAAATGAATATGTTATATAGATACAATGGATAAGCGTGGATTCTTGAAAAAGAAACCATGAGCCCGGAGGGCGAATGGTTTGTTTTTCATGAATCTACGCTTATCCATTGTATCTATAACTTAAACTATTGTGTTAATTTCTTTTCAAAATTAAAGCCTTTTCTTAATTAGAAGGTATTGTAAGTGAGTTTAAATAACCATGTTATCGTGTCCAACGATGCATTGATAAATCTCAGATCACAATTAATTGGTTAACAAAATACAAATATAACACTTCTACCTTTACAGATCTTTATATTACCAGGCATATGAATATTATCTGTTTATACAAAATAAGACATATTCGAAATTATTTCTAATAAAATTGAAAATGGAAATAGGGAACGTGTCAAAGAGACAACAACCCGACCAAAAAGCATATATAAAGTATATATAATAAGCATGTTATCGAAATTTTTCTAGCACTCTAGGCACATCACGATTTTCTCGCATAGGAATTTGCGAACAAACCTTTGTAAAATTATGTAGTAAAACAGATGAAATCAAACTATATTTATAAAACAAAAATTGACAAATAGAATGTTAGCATTTTTGTTTCAAACATGTGAAATAGCCAATAATAATATAAAAAAAAAACGGTAAAACTCGCTATTATTACAAAAATATCCACTATAACATGCAAATTTAGAAAAAAAAGGAGGAAAACTTAAGAATTGGAACAACAGAGAGAATACAGGGATTCGAACCTTAACCGACAAATCCCTATCTTTAACTCATTGATTTTAACCATGCTAACCTCGCGGTTTAAAGCACTTGTTGATGTTCGAATTCAATGTGCAAAAACTTCGATCTTATATATTCCCCTTTACAATACATCTTTTATTTGTATGAAAGGGGACATCGCCAATGAACAGTTCTGCCCTAAAATTCATAATGAAAGCCTTCCTATATTGTTCTGCAATCTAACCCGTACGTTATTTTTGTTTCATAATGAGCTGCGTCGGATAGAAATCGACCTTATGCAAGTGCATGTATTGTATACATGTAAATGTATAAGACTTTGATTGATTTTGGAACATTCAAATACAAAGTAAAAGATGAATTTTGGTCTGTTTTGTAGATTTTCTCTTATAACAGCTGAATTTTCAAAAAGTTACAGACTTTCCATAGAGATTTGTTCAACCCGAAAAAGGTTAACAGCAATATTGGTATGCATTTGCATAAGGTCGATTTCTATCCGACTCAGCTCATATGTTGTCGTTGAAAGCCTCATTTTGAATCAGGAAGCAGTAATAACTGCTTTTAAATCAGATAAGTAAAACTTGAAAAAATGTCAGTGCAAAAGTATTTATCTGTTTATTACAGTTTAATGTTTGTCGTTTATTTATAACATATTCATGACATTTTAATTTCTATTTTCTTAGTTCAAGGAGATTACGAAAGACGTAGCAGATCAGATTAATTATGATTTGGAAAAGTTTCTTCGAGGTACATGTAAGACTCAAAACTCGTAGCATAATAGCTGATTTGTGTAGAGAGAATCACTCTTCGTGCACAATTAATACCTCTTTAAAAAAAATAGTCGCAGGTCGCCGCTACAAAGAGCTAGTATTCCGTCTCTTCCAAACTCTCCGTATATTTCTTGTGGGAGTTAAAATTCAATTCTTTTAATGTCCCATCTAAGTCCCCGTTTCAATTAATTTTCGTCATGAACTGTTATGGATATAAGCTTTTAGAGGTCACTGTGCGGTCTTCAACAATGAGCAAAACCCATGACGTATAGTTAGCTATAATAGGCCCTGACCTGACAAAAGGAAACAATTTAAACGAAAACGGAAAATATTATGACAGCGAAAAACGATAACAACTGGATTACAGACACCTGACAAGGGACAGGCAGTTAAAGAATATATGTTCATTTTATATCATACATTCATTTAATATGCATTGCATGGTGCTGCTATATGGGACGAAATCAAACAGATCCCGTATGTTACAATAAACATGTCTGCATGAATTTCTGCAATATGGAATTTTTTTATTCTTATTTCTGCAAAATATCTATGAAATCAGAACTTGGTAAATGGAAAGTTTGAAATACATTCTATTTGATTGATCTTTACAAATTGTAGAACTTCAGAGACAACGTACATCAATGTTTCTAAAATGTGAAGATTATCCATTGGTTTTGTACGTGCATTCTATACACATATTTTGTCTTTGTGAAGGTTATGGATTTGTTTTTATACTTTACAGCCCGTTGTTTTGACGTTCAGAAGGCGGAACAAATGTTAAGAAATGTAAGTTTACTCAATTCATTTCATCTTAGAATGTTCGTTCTTTCTTTCGATTAATTTCAAGTATGCAGGATATATTATGTGTTGTGTGTATATCACATAGGTATGGTTTTACAAATGCTGCATTTTCAATTTTTTAATTCAATTACTCAACAGGTGATCTTGTAAGTATCTATTTAAAATTTATTATTGTCATTCAAGAAAAGTGCAATACAGAAATAAGGATGTGGATGGGAGTTTACAGAATAGAGAATAATGGGCAAAAAATATAAAGAATAGAGAAAAATGGACAAAAAAATAGGGAATAATGAGGTGCTAAAATATAAAGTATGGAGAATAATGGGCAACCCATCCAGACCCTCAGAAATGTACTGTAAAATAGATATGTTACACTAGTACGTTAATTTCACGGTCATCAATTGGTCTCCTGCATACCAACAAGATCGTTTGAGTTGATATCCTGTTGTGAAAGGGAGCGATTAAAACAAAGGTCTTCCAAACGAAGATGAATGATTTTTTTTTCGATCATCAATATATTGTTTCGAAAAAAGCGAAACAAAAAAAGGGCTACTTAAAGAAAGTGATTTTTTTTTATTAAAGCTACCAAGCTCATAATTTGGTATGCCAGACACGTTTTATAAAAATAAACATCTACTTCAGCTTCAAGTGGCTAAAATAATAAACTCTGTGCATTTAATGCATATACAATATAATAATTATTAATAGAATAGCCAAAATAGCCGAGTCATTTGATTTTGTGATAAACGGATTAAATCCGAAAAGGTCGCGTAAATATATATTATTTTGTAAAGGTCATTTAAACGAATAAATTATTTATAAATTTAAATGAACTAAAATAGATGTATGTATGCACCCATTCAATATTTGTTTATGTATATATATATATAGTTATAACGTTTTTAAATAGCTAAAGGTTGAATACTGTTTCTTCTACAGAGTGTTGACTTTAGAAAGACAATGAAAGTTAATACATTGTTGAAAGATTACAAACAACCAGAGGTATTTCATTATAGTAAATACATATTTATACAATCTTATCTGGCTTTGAACTCAAAATGTAAGAATATTTCCTCAGCAATTTGTTCACCGCCTACAGAGCACAATGTATAACATACAGATGCCAAAAACTATTTACCCGAATCACTGCAAAGAGAAAATACAATTAGATTGAAACTAGATGTTTAAATGTTAAGTTGTGACGTTATTGCAAATAAGTATCAACAAAAATACCGAACTACAAGGTAAATCAAAAAAAGGGGGAAGTCCATAAAACATGACCCAGTCAAGTGATAGACTATATCAACCAAAGGAACGAATCGAAAACAGCGCTGTCATATCCTGACTTGGTACAAAATGATGGATTAAACCTTGGTTTTATAGCTAGTTAAACCTCCCACTTGTATAACAGTAGTTTATGACAAATGAGTAGCTGGCAAATGCTCAAACAATTTCCTTTTTGTCACAACTTATCAACGCAATTACTAAAGGTTCAGAGAAGACTGAACATCAACTTTGTCAATATAACGGAACTATAAACAACTGTCAAACAAATGGGCGTTTTAACTAACTATAAAACCAGGTTCAACCCACCATTTTCTACGGAAAATCCCTGTAACACGTCAGAAATATGATGTGAGTTGTTTTACATTTGTTCCGTTGGTTGAAAACGGTTTTTTATAAATGTTCTGATTCAGCACATAACACATTACTCAATGATATCAATAACAAACAAAAGGTAGATGAATTTCTTAAAAACAAAATGTAAAAGTAAAGCTGCAGGGACAATAAAATGCATTGTTCCTAAAAGAAACAAAGTTATCATATGCATTAAATAGAAGAAAAAAACTCATTCCACTAGTTCATGTGTCTGTAGTGTGATACCAAGCAAATAATGTTAAAGAGGAAATCAGAAAGTCGAAGTCAAGATGACAAAGCAAGAACCGAGAGAGAAAACAGAACACACCCTAGCCAATAAAAAAACAGACAGCTGCAAACAGCGGAGACATTGGCAAGGAACCTATTTTTTATTAACGAATTGGTAGTTGATGGTGTTTGTTTGGTAGTCTTAGCTTAATTCTTTTCAACTAGGGTTGATATTTTCCTTTTATGGACTTTATACTCGTGGCCTGTCAATCATTTAGAACTATGAACAATTTCGTGTTCGACTTGCTACCGGGTAGTCTTTGTTATTTATAAGTATTATGTGAGACAGCAAACCAACAACCCAAAAACAAATCTTAATCTCTTATAGTTAAGTTAGGGTATACTTCAAGAGATAGAAAACCACCGACACAAGAAACAACACATCTAGAGGTATTGTTATTGACAGTAAACAAAAAGAATAGGCATTTATCGCAAATTATTGGAAAGGGTTCTGTAATTTCCGATTGTCCTCTCAACTGTGTTTTTTTACTTTGCCCTTTCTCATCTTTCTCATTGATGCACAAATTACAATTTGATTTTTAAATAAGGTAATGAGAAAATATTTAACTGGGGGATTTTGTGGTCATGCTAAAGATGGTTCGCCTGTACGTGTAGAATTGTTTGGAAATCTTGATCTTAAAGGGCTAATGCGATCTACAAAAAAATCCGACTTTGTAAAGAATAAACTACACGAATGTGAGTGGACTGTGAGTGACTGGGCAGAACAGAGCAAAAAGGTTAGTAAATATATGCGACAGTTAGTACACCTCATCTCACTTTTCTTGTAATTGTCTGATTCACATGCATTGATTCAGAATTGCTTGATTTATGCCCAGTGTCAAATATTTTTGTTAATGTTTGCCATAATTTTTTAATGTTTTTGGTGTGTCGTGGATACTTATCTATACATCCAGAACGCCCCTCTGTTGCATGGGTTTTGTGGTCTGATGGACCAAGTGACCATATGTCTGTACTCAAGTGAACCGTTTGGGTTGAATTGCAACAAAAATAATTCGTAATTCCATTTTAAGGGAAAACAAAATATGCTGATATACAACTGTCAATAATAATAGTTTTTTATTCCTTTTTATTGTAGTTAAAAATATGCTGCACGCTTTCTTTCAAAAGCCACATAGTAATGTATGCAGTCTATGTGAATAATATGGCAATAAACAAATAAACAATTTAAACGCAATTCCGATTTCCCCCCAAACTAGCTGGTATATATGAGCATTGTTGTTTTAAGAATTATCCTTTAAGTTAACTTTTACTATTTACATAAGAATAACAAACTTTAATTCTATCCATTATTAATAATCTGGCTCGTCGAATAATAAAGCAGGATATAATGATGCCTTCCCTGTAAATGATGTTGCACATTAGTATTAGAGAATACCAAAATGATAATTACTGCGACGTTTCCAATTGTAAATTTTTCCAATAATAAAAGCATCGCACTAATTTTGGAATAATTGACATTACATTACACTACTCGTTTACATGATGATAAACAATTTTAAGCCATCCAAGTCATAACACACATCTTTCATTGTATAGTTGGGTAGACCAGTAGACGGAATGACAGTTATATGTGATATGGCAGACATAGGAACGTCAGCACTGTGGATTCCAGGTAAAATTAACATTAATAATATTCATCATTACTATACAGAAATTTAAAAAAGAAACTTGACTTCGTCATTTTGTCTTGTTCAGAAAATGATGAAACGAGTCTATCACATCTTTGAAAAGCCGAAACATCAGAATCTCTGGCAGCGAAAAACGGCACTTGGCGCAAAATGTAGGAGCGGAAACAATATGCAGTTGCTTTTAGTGAGACCATGCAGGCGTGTCGATACACTAAACATATATTGATATACGTTATATTCTCGCCATACCGTGAAAAACTCACTGCACCTAAGTTAACCTGTTACAGTGGCATATGGACAATATGAAAGTATACAACATGACATCAAATCTAAATGTTATAATTAATTAATATCATTCATACATTATATATCTATAATAGTGTTAATACTACACCATTTGATCATACACATGATACAAGGTTTTGTTTTAAACAAAGCAACAATTTCATAGGGTTCCGTTGTTACTTTAAATTATGCGGCCAATTTGCTTTTCAGACCAAATGTAATATTACAAGGCTTAATTTAAACGGACCATTGAATTACCATATATTCATGCTAGTTCTCCAGTTCCAAAAAGAAGCTGTATTTTCATGTGGTTTCCACTATTTTTATGGTTTATAATGTTTCTTGGTTAAAACCATCTTGGATTTCTAGTTATAAAAAAAATACGTTTAGGTACGATAATCATATTGTCATTCTAATGATAAAACTCATCAAAGATACTGGGCTTATGATTTTATAAGCGAAGGCTGGTATGCATAAAACCACTTAAGTTAAGATATTCAATTGTAGTACTAATTTATCGTAGGACATGTAGACAAATCCGTCCGTTCGGAACAAATCTTAACTTGAGTAGTTTCATGCATATCAGCCCAGATGCGTGTTTCGTCAACATAAGACTCATCATGACCCTCGAATTAAAACACATGGAAGGCTGATTCAAATATTAGTGCGAAATTGTAGAGCTTTAAAACCCAAAATTCCGAAAAACGGCAATCTATACCTGAGGGTAGAAAACTTTAGTGTTTCGAATAATTCAACATTATATATACAGCAAATTAAAAAAAATGAATATATCAATGATATTTCATGTCAACACAAAAATTTCAATTGAATATACGAATAAAAAGGATACTTTTTTCCAAGAAGCTGCTTGCAGATTTTTCTTATAGGTTCCAACATTAAAACATTTGGTAGTGTTTGTGAATTGTACCAAACTTACAAGCACAATGAAGAACCATACTCAATATTCTATATGACTAATTTTATTTCCCTTTGTAAATAGAGTTCACAAGTTTCAATTGTTGAACTGTCCTCAGTTCGGTAGTTATCATTGTGTTACGTTTAAAGAAAAAACTCGAAACGATAACTTTGTGTGTTAGTTTATGTACTGTTTCTTTTAGTATCTTATTCTTTATGAATATTTTAAAATCTAAAGACATAAAATAAATGTTATTTTGGATAATAGACTTGTCAAAACACACCTCTTACCAGTTCAAGTATTTCTGGCAAGAATTGTAATAATAATGAATGGGTAATTCTATCAATTTTCATTTTTTGTTGTCTAGGTATAAAGCTACACTTACATTTAGTAAAGGTGCTGGAAGACAATTATCCTGAAATGTTAAAGAGACTGTTGGTTATAAATGGTCAGTAAATAAACTCATCATAGATACCAGGATTGAAATTTTATATTTACGCCAGACGCGCGTTTCATCTACAAAAGACTCATCAGTGACGCTCGAATAAAAACACAAGTAGTAAAGTTAACAATTAGGTACACTTTTACTCGAAACATTTGTGGTGAACTTTATTCATGTTTCAGTTCTTGCGGTCTTGGAAAAATATGAGTTAATAGATAAGTTTTGATATGACATAATTTGAGTTTGAGTTTCCCGTGGCCGCCATTATTTGGAGGGATAAATGGTTGATTTTCTTATTTGACTTACTATATTGAAACATGCATTACAAACAAGTCTGATAAAAGATACTTGCTAGATCGTAGATGAACCAAGCAAGGCTAAAAGAAATTAAAAATTTTCAGAAATAAACTTTTTCTAAAGTCTAGCGGTCATTATAACATGTTGAATTTGGCGAATAAAGGAATCTGTACATCTCAACATGGCGACAAAAGGGAAGTAACTATTGTTCAAATTGTGTCAGTCGAAACTTATCTAAACTAGATATATTACAGAAACGAAATTTTTTTATGGTTAACCATATAGGAGTATAAATGAACGCTGTAACTTTGATTAACTTAAAAATCTGTTATTCCGCATACATAATCAGGTCTCTTCGTCTAATAATAATCGTTAGAGAGGTTTTTTTTTATCGTGAATAAGAAGAGTTGTTTCAAAATATTAGACTTCTCCTGCAAATATATCTTTCTTCATCTAACCTTACAAGAAACAACCAGGAGTTCACTCAGAACATTGGATTTGTATGATATTGAAAACACAAATACGTTGTCGAATCTACACTGCAGAAGTATAAAAAAAGAGTAATAACTTTTGAATAATGAATTAAGGAAGGACTCAGAAATAAGTTTAATAGCATTAAAATAATCACGTCACTCATTCGTTGCATCTTAAAGTTCTTATGGTGAACATTTGGCAATTTGCCAAATACCATAAGAAAATTCCTGATTGATCTCATATCAAAATAAAATGATTTTTGTCATTTATCTGAAACACACCGGCAATTAGGCAGGGATATTACTTGATTTCTTAACTCATAACTGATTCTTCTTGCAAAGACTCGCTAATGTTTTACTAAACATTCACATTTCAGCGCCATTAATATTTCCGTTGCTACATAAAATTGCAAGGCCATTACTCAGTGAAGATACACGACAAAAACTATATGTTAAAGGAGGTATGTTGTCATGAAACACTATTTTAGTTTGTATCAATTATAGCTATTGATCTAATGCGTTAACTGTAAAAAGGGAAATTATTGAGTAGCACTTATCAAAAAAGTATAAGTAAAAAAAGTATAACAAAAATACTTAACTCCAGGGTAGACTCAATAAGTCCATAAAAACTGACAAAATCAAACGTTAGACTTTATCAACCAACGTAACGAATGGAAAACAACTGTCATATTCCTGAATTGGTACAGGCTTTTTCCGAAGAAAAGCAAAGTTTTCTTCCTATCAAAGTCGACGATTGAGGTCAATCCGATGCAAATCCAAAAGAGAAAAGAGACACAAAAAAATCAATTTTATTTGCATATTCCAAGTAGTTCCACCACATTTTTAGGAGTAGCTTTATAAATGAAGTAACATGTGCTGTTTCAAAACGGTAAGATATCGGATTACCATTTTGTGTTATCTGGCTACAATGTGTGCTCTTATGCTGTTTTCATCGTTGACACAGCGTTTTTAATTATGATTTATTGTTAATAAGTTCTGAAAAGGGTATTGTAGGAACTTTAGTTTTAACTAACCTAGCCTAATGAGAAAATATAAGGTGGCTAACGTTGTCTATCATTGTAATCTTTTCAAAATTTGCGGAATGTTTCATGAGCAAAGTTTCATTCAGCAGCCTATCTATATTATATAATAATAATGAAATGCTCTGATTGACTGAAATGTGTTTACACATTTGACAATGTGTAAACAGGCGTTATGATGTTAACAGTTTATTCTGTCGTCAAATTTTTTCTGCATCTGATTTTCTACGTAACTATATCATTTACTTTTCCATTTTTAGTACTTACTCTGCCATTCAAAATAATATAATGTTCATCATGATATTCATCTAAGGTAGTAGCCAAAACTTCAGTGAAAGATGCGGAATCGTAAGAGATCGTTAATTAATCTGTTGTTGGTTTTTTGTTTTGGCGGAAAATCGTTTACATTTTTTTATTCAAAAATAACTATATTTTTCATTTACAATATAAAAATAAGATTGTTCGACTTTTCAAATGAGGAAACTATATTAATTACATTCCCTTCTGAAGTCAATTTTTTTTTCAAGAAATGTTTCATCAAAATATTTATCTATATACATGTAATAAAAAAAAACTTGTCCCCTAGAAATAATGAATGGTTGGGGCCTTATTCCAAATCGTTAAATAGGAACCAAAGAATATTGCTGTATTGTAGATAATTACAAAAATTTGCTGTTAAGTTTTATTGATGCCGAAAACTTACCAGCCTGTTATGGTGGGATGTTAACAGATCCAGATGGAAATCCTAATTGCACGACAATGGTGAGTAAAAGACATTACTTTTAATCCTGAAAGTGTAATAGCTATCCCCTTTCCTGTCTGTATTCGGGATGTACGAATTGCTTTCTGGAATTGTAGGGTAAAATGAAATTAAATCGTTTACTGATGACAAACTGATGTATTTGGTTCATACTGAGTAATATGTATTTGCGTTGAACGGTAAGCTTAGAAATCTTATATTGATTCCAGTGTCAAGCAAACGAAAAAACATGTAGGAAGATTTGAGACAGCTCTTGCAGGAAGGAACACGTTTGCCGCAAGTATAACTTGCAGTTTCGAAATCAAAACTTAAGATAATCATCACGAGTACTTTCTATAATAAGACTTTTGATTGTGGTCAGTAACTTCGACTGACTTTAATATTGACAGCCTCAGTGGTTCTTTGATATTTTTACCATTTTTTTTGTTTTAAGACAGTTATATTAATGTCTTTATCTTTAAACAGTAATTTGTTTGCAGGAATTTAATTCTATTTATTTATATAATTATTCATTCACATATTTGTTTTTGGAAAAATCTTAATCTGAATGATATAATGTTCCACATTACATGTTTTCCTATTTTCTTTGCGTGTTATGTAACAGCACAAGATAGGAAACTTGGCGGGAAAACGATCACAATACCCGATTTTACTTCGATTTTCGTGTATTGCATACACTGTATTTTCCAGTGTTGTGTACATGACATACAAATTTTAAAAGCACAAAACTTATCTACTCTACTGTGACGACAAATTTTTCAGATTGGTCAGGGTGGACCAGTGCCAGAAGAGTTTTATTTTGAAAATGCAGATTTAAAGGAACAGATGCAATCTGTCACTGTACCGAGAGCTGGGAAAATATACATAGGAGCTAAAGTAGATAGATCATTGAGTGTACTTAGGTAATAAACTTGATAATGTTGGTAAATCTAAAGAGATTTTCTTGGATTTATCTACAGCTGGAACGCTCAAACCCAAAAGAATGAAAGGAAAGGATGTATAAATAATTTGATACGTAAATACATAGGTATAGGATTAACTATTTATATGTTGCGTTCTTTAATATTAATTTGTGTATAACATTTTGGAGTCTATCAACGAAATAATTTAGGGCATTGGTACCATTGAAACGGTAGATGACTGAATGTTTTAATTCCCTTCTTAGCAAAGTTGACCTTACAATTGAGAATGGAAATGAGGAATGTGTCAAAGAGAAAACAACCCGACCAAAGAGCAGAAAACAGTCCAAGGCCACCAATGGGTCTTCAACACAGCGAGAAAATCCCGCACCCGGAGGCGGGCTTCAGCTGGCTCCTGAACAAAAATTTATACTAGTTCATTGAAAATGGACGTCACACTAAACTCCGAAACATATAAATGAACTAAAATTAAAAAAACATACAAGACTAACAAAGGCCAGAGGCTCCTGACTTGGGCCAGGCGCAAAAATGCGACGAGGTTAACATGTTTTGTGATATCTCAGCCCTCCCCTATAACTCTAGCCACTATAGAATAAACAAACACACAGCAATACGCAGAGTTAAACTCAGTTTAAAAGAAGTCCGAGTCCGATGTCAGAATAGGTAGACAATAGAAGAAACTAAGCAAAGTGACAATGATACTTAAATTAACAAAGGACTACTAGCAGTTACTGACATGCCAACTCCAGACCTCAATTAAACTGATTGAAAGATTATGTCTTCATCGTATGAAAATCAAGCACAATCCCTCCCGTTAGGGGTTTATTATCATACTATCATAAAATATATGAGAACATATCCCGTATCATGCCAACAACTAGTTTTAGAACTAATGTGTTTATTTCCGATGCAAAGACCCTATGAGTGAATTAATATTAATTCCAAAATATGCCATCTTTAATGACTTGACAACTTATTAATTTGTGTACAACTTTTTGGAGTCTATCAACGAAATAATTTAGGGCTGTGGTACCATTGAAACGGTAGATGACTGAATGTTTTAATTCCCTTCTTCGCAAAGTTGACCTTACAATTGAGAATGGAAATGAGGAATGTGTCAAAGAGAAAACAACCCGACCAAAGAGCAGAAAACAGCCCAAGGCCACCAATGGGTCTTCAACACAGCGAGAAAATCCCGCACCCGGAGGCGGTCTTCAGCTGGCTCCTGAACAAAAATTTATACTAGTTCATTGAAAATGGACGTCACACTAAACTCCGAAACATATAAATGAACTAAAATTAAAAAAACATACAAGACTAACAAAGGCCAGAGGCTCCTGACTTGGGCCAGGCGCAAAAATGCGACGAGGTTAACATGTTTTGTGATATCTCAGCCCTCCCCTATAACTCTAGCCACTATAGAATAAACAAACACACAGCAATACGCAGAGTTAAACTCAGTTTAAAAGAAGTCCGAGTCCGATGTCAGAATAGGTAGACAATAGAAGAAACTAAGCAAAGTGACAATGATACTTAAATTAACAAAGGACTACTAGCAGTTACTGACATGCCAACTCCAGACCTCAATTAAACTGATTGAAAGATTATGTCTTCATCGTATGAAAATCAAGCACAATCCCTCCCGTTAGGGGTTTATTATCATACTATCATAAAATATATGAGAACATATCCCGTATCATGCCAACAACTGGTTTTAGAACTAATGTGTTTATTTCCGATGCAAAGACCCTATGAGTGAATTAATATTAATTCCAAAATATGCCATCTTTAATGACTTGACAACTTATTAATTTGTGTAGAACTTTTTGGAGTCTATCAACGAAATAATTTAGGGCTTTGGTACCATTGAAACGGTAGATGACTGAATGTTTTAATTCCCTTCTTCGCAAAGTTGACCTTACAATTGAGAATGGAAATGAGGAATGTGTCAAAGAGAAAACAACCCGACCAAAGAGCAGAAAACAGCCCAAGGCCACCAATGGGTCTTCAACACAGCGAGAAAATCCCGCACCCGGAGGCGGTCTTCAGCTGGCTCCTGAACAAAAATTTATACTAGTTCATTGAAAATGGACGTCACACTAAACTCCGAAACATATAAATGAACTAAAATTAAAAAACATATAAGACTAACAAAGGCCAGAGGCTCCTGACTTGGGCCAGGCGCAAAAATGCGACGGGGTTAACATGTTTTGTGATATCTCAGCCCTCCCCTATAACTCTAGCCACTATAGAATAAACAAACACACAGCAATACGCAGAGTTAAACTCAGTTTAAAAGAAGTCCGAGTCCCATGTCAGAATAGGTAGACAATAGAAGAAACTAAGCAAAGTGACAATGATACATAAATTAACAAAGGACTACTAGCAGTTACTGACATGCCAACTCCAGACCTCAATTAAACTGATTGAAAGATTATGTCTTCATCGTATGAAAATCAAGCACAATCCCTCCCGTTAGGGGTTTATTATCATACCATCATAAAATAAATGAGAACATATCCCGTATCATGCCAACAACTGGTTTTAGAACTAATGTGTTTATTTCCGATGCAAAGACCCTATGAGTGAATTAATATTAATTCCAAAATATGCCATCTTTAATGACTTGACAACTTATTAATTTGTGTAGAACTTTTTGGAGTCTATCAACGAAATAATTTAGGGCATTGGTACCATTGAAACGGTAGATGACTGAATGTTTTAATTCCCTTCTTAGCAAAGTTGACCTTACAATTGAGAATGGAAATGAGGAATGTGTCAAAGAGAAAACAACCCGACCAAAGAGCAGAAAACAGCCCAAGGCCACCAATGGGTCTTCAACACAGCGAGAAAATCCCGCACCCGGAGGCGGTCTTCAGCTGGCTCCTGAAAAAAAATTTATACTAGTTCATTGGAAATGGACGTCACACTAAACTCCGAAACATATAAATGAACTAAAATTAAAAAAACATACAAGACTAACAAAGGCCAGAGGCTCCTGACTTGGGCCAGGCGCAAAAATGCGACGAGGTTAACATGTTTTGTGATATCTCAGCCCTCCCCTATAACTCTAGCCACTATAGAATGATACCATCATAAAATATATGAGAACATATCCCGTATCATGCCAACAACTGGTTTTAGAATTAATGTGTTTATTTCCGATGCAAAGACCCTATGAGTGAATTAATATTAATTCCATAATATGCCATCTTTAATGACTTGACAACAGTATCATACGATTTTAAACAGATATACTTTGGTTAATTGCAGTTGGGAATTTCAAACAGAAGATCACGACATAGAATTCGGACTTTTTTATGAAGAAAATGATAATTACATTCCCATTATACCTGTGACAAGAGCTGATAGTCATGTTGTAACTCATGATGGCACGTATACTTGTGACAAAGTTGGAAAATGTGAGTAGTTGTTACAAATTCCAGCTTACAAAGAATTAAATTACATCTTAATCTCATTTGCCGGCTGTGCATCTTCTTCGATTTTCACATTTCATAACTATTTTTAACAATACTTGTGAAGATTTACGAATCCTAAAATTTTCGTCTAAAAACAAACGTTCTACGTGGAAAATACCTGGTCAATATTGGTGAAAACTGACCGGAATAATGTCATAATAATTATAGAACTCCTCACTTTGATTCATTCAGATGAAAATATGACTACACGGCCAAGTATTCATAAACATAGAATAATCATTATGGTGAATAGTAAACCCACTGTAATGATGTATTAAATTATTCTTCTCGGACGATATGCATAACAAATAGATATCAGAGATGTTACAACTATCATATTTTTTTCTTCGTTTTAGATTTCTTGTGTTTTGATAATACTTATAGTTGGACTAGATCAAAGCAACTTCGATATACATGTGAAGTTTATGAACCTGATCAGACTATCTTTTCAGAGGACGTCACCAAGCTGATGAAAGATGGTGACATCAAAACATTAACAGAGAAATTTAAGTCACATAATTGAATAATACAGTAACTTTATATTTTGAATATGTTTCTGGTTGTACTTCTGTTCATGTAAATGTTAAAACTTTCATTTCAATCATGAATACGTTGAAACGCAAACCAAATCTAGTTTCAAAAACCAGTGTTCCTGCTTTATGTGTTATCCTATTATTTTTACTTGGCTTCGCTCGATTGGAATGTTTTTATTCTATCTCAGGTGCATACAGCCGTTGGTATCTACTTATAAGTATTTGGTAATTTTAAGTAGTTGTTTTAGTTCAGGTGACAAATACCATACAGCTTGAACACTTGGTACTAGTTTTTGATATTTGATCATGTTCAGGATGTTATTACACGTTCATAATCGTTTACTTCCATCATCCATATAATTCAAGTCAGTATAAAAAGAAGCAGATGTGGTATGATTGCCAACGAGACAAGTATCCACCTGAGCAGAGTCCAAATGACGTGGATATTCGTAACTATAGATCACTGGTACTCTTTTAGTTTTTTCGCCGCTTCCTTCATTTTGTTTACAACCAAGAAAAGGACGTTTGTTATTTTCTTTGCGCCATTAATTTAGTTGTCTCATTTATTTAGTCATCTTTATGTTTTGCTATTTTTCTTTTTTAGAAGGGGGTGCTTACTTTTAATTCATTCATTCAAACACTAGCAACATGTAGCCAATGAATATTTTTCATTATTAAATGATATGAGCAAATCAGCCCTAATACGGATAAATCAGCATGTCCAATACTGATGACCTTGTCCTGTCGATATTAATCAAGAGTTAATATTGCTTTCCGGACATGGCCAATACGGAAAAATGCCGTATTGGCCCATGGGCTAATACGGGACGTTCACTTTCGGTTTCAATTTTCTTACGCCTTTGGACGTATCGTTATGCATAACATACTTTGTATCATATTTTTTAACTTAATATCATAAAAAAAGTTTAAATGCTGTTCAGTTTTTATAAACGTCTTGAAACGAGTAAGAATAGTAACTGTCTGATTTATTCTTCCCGGCTACTTCATATTTGCTAGATTTGAATTGTACTAGCATAAGATTAAGTACTAGGACGAGAAATTAGAAATTACATCTGACAATGTTGACAAAAAATTCATCGTAAATGCGAAAAAACAAGTTCAGATATGAATTTCTGTATCTTCTTCACGGCAGGTTTCATAGTTTAATCGAAGAATTAAAAACATTTAATAAAAGTGTTATAAACTGGCTGTTTCTGTAATGGCCAGAGTCTCGGGTCCAATACAGCTAACCTCGAATCTATAACAGGGTAAATACAGAAATAGCCAGTTAATAACACTATAGTAAATTACGGCAACTTGCATGCATATAAATATTTATCAGCAGCGATCTCGTCAAAAGCTTCCAAGAAAATGTTAATGCTATTGAAGAAGCTTGTTCCCACAAAGTTTTTTTTTACCAACTGTTACCTCAAATACATAGCAATCGGCTGTTTGGGGTTGAAGTCTCCTGTTGTATAGTGGTATATGTTATCCCTTATATGTATCAATACATGTAAATCTTTTTTATTAAATTATATCACTTTCTTTGATATCACACATACACACACTATAGTTACTATACCTGTATTTTCAATTAGCTGTTTAGGCAAACTAACAAGTATTTTTTATATAGAAGAATTCATCAAATTCAGAATAATTATGTATTTCTGCAATATTTTATATAAGTCTTGTACTAATGCTGATAAAGTTAATGCGGTCAGTGTGAATGGTTCAAAATGTGACCATTATTTGCTATGTCATACAAATCACACGTTTGTTGTGACCCTAATTCAGATAAAATATCAAATGTATTTTGTGATATTTGATTTCTTTATAGATTAAAATGATAAAATGTTTATTTTTTATTTTTTTTATATAATACTTTCATGGATTTATAATGTACGTAATACTTATAGTCAAGTTACATTATCAAAAAGTAAAATCACAAAAATACTGAACTCCGAGGAAAATTCAAAAAGGAAAGTTCCTAATCAAATGGCAAAACCAAAAGCTCAAACACATCAAACGAATAGATAACAACTGTCATATTCCTGACTTGGTACAGGCATTTTCTTATGTAGAAAATTGTAGATTAAACCTGGTTTTAAAGCTAGCTAAACCTCTCACGTGTATGACAGTCGCATCAAATTCCATTATATTGACAACGATGTGTGAACAAAACAAACACAAAAGGTTAAAATGTCACAAATAGGGGTACAACAGCAACACGAACCCCACCAAAAACTGGGGTGATATCAGGTGCTCCGGAAGGGTAAGCAGATCCTGCTCCACATCTGGCACCCGTCGTGTTGCTCATTTTATTACAAAGCGGTAAATAGCTTATTCGGTAGGTCACATTCGTGAAAAGGGAACGGGATAGTAGTTACGACATAAGGAACATTTCCGATATCATCTGTGAAACGGATATTCCATAACGGTCAACCAACTGGTGATGGCGTCCGTAAAATTTACGAGGTGATGATTTCAACTTCACCATTTGGAACTAAAAATGGAAAGGTCACAATTGGGAAGCTGAAATCATCTCTTTTGTCGCAAAGTTTTGTTTTCAACCGACCCTCATTGTCAATAGATGTAAGTCAAGGTATGAGGCAGACTTAACTGTAAAACGGAAAGTCCCTAATCAAATGGCAAAATCAAAAGCTCAAACACACCAAATGAATGGATAACAACTGTCATATTCCTGACTTGGTACAGGCATTTTAAAGCGACAGAGCCATGTTAAAACCTACATACATTTTCACTGCACTGAATACCAAACATTCCAAAATACTGTGTCAAGTCTATCTAATGTCACATTTACATTTTATTATTACGAATGATTTTAACATTTTGAGAACAGTTGAGTGATACAGGAACACGGTAGACTAATATTTCTATGTGTGGGAATAATGAAACATTTATGGGTTAAAACATATATGCCAAAACACGTTGAAGGTGATATGAACAAACAAAGTAGTGTATAAAGGCAAGTACATAACACACACTCAATTTTGTTTTATACTAATTTCAATAAATTATTTATATATCATTGGATATTAAATTTGGTATGTATGCGTTCCTAATGAACAGAAATCAAGAAAAAGTCTTCGGACGTATTCAATTTATACAATCTTTATTTACAAGCAATGGTCAATACCTCTGTTAATGGACTGGTACGTTCAGAGGGTATCATTAGCCCAGTAGTCAGTCTTTTGTCATTGACAGGATTTATATTATGCATTTGTTAATTTTTCCATTGATAAATGTAAAAAATAATAATGAAACTATGGATCCAACTCCCTTTGGCAAACTTGATCTTAAATGGTTTTGCTATTCTTTTGTTATGTGTCGATTTGGTTATATAGAATTTATGGATAATTGGCTTTTGACGTTCTTCCTGAATATAAATCTAGAGAAGCGATTTAGACACAATAAATTTATCAAATGTAATTTTTATTTGATAATATTTTACAGTAACATATAACAATCTACATGTCTGCACATGACTTAGTGTAATGATGTAGTTTAAATCAACAAGGTCCTTCTTTCATTGTAATATTGTCAAGTTCTGCTGAACTATAAACTGTTTCTCCAACGATGTATTCAAACACAATCTGGAAAAAAAAATATTGTACAATATTACAAAATCCCTTCCTCTTTTCTTTGATTGTGACATTACCGATGCGATTTATACCCGTATTTTTATTTGCAATGATTAACACGAAAGGTGCCATGCCAGGGGAGAAGGGCACGTCTTACTCTTTAAGAGCACCTGAGTTTTGTACGCCAGACGTGCGTTTCGTCTACAAAAGACTCATCAGTGATGCTTGAATAGAAAAAGTTAAAAAGTCAAAAACATGAGTAGAAAATGGGTGATTTTTAAACATTGGTCCTATTTTATGAAAATCATGTCGAAAGGGTAGTATTGACCATGTTAGATATATACTCTGGCAGATTATGCCAAATCTAAAGCTTTACACACTAAGCATTGTGTACCCTCGGTGACTAACAGGCCACCAAAACTGTTATGGGTATAGTCGTAGTGAGTAAGAATAATTTATACCGAAACCTTGTGTTTTTTTGATAAATTGTCTACAATTACGCTCTGCGAATGAGGATTTGACAGGTATGATGCTGAATGAGGAAACAATGAAAAGTTGTAGTATTGAATTTATAGTGAGTATGACAAATGCCATTCAATTATGTTTTATAGCAACGAGAAGTTTAAATTAGCATTTATTTATCTTTTAATGTGTAGTTCTATTTGACGCTTTACAAAAAGCAAGATTAAAGAAAATATGTGTATACGTACCCTAAACTTGTTATTTATAAACACAAAAGTTTCATGCTCTGTCCATAATTCATATTCATCTGCAGTTCCCGTCCAAAGCAATATCTGTTGCTCATTATGATTATCTTCTATATAAAGATTGATCATAGTGTTATCATTTCCTAATAATCTGTATGAAAAATGAATACATGTTTCACCTGAACTTTTATAAATTTTTGATCGAATTTTTCCTTTATCTCCTGGAGCCTGTGTTTTAGCCGATGCTGTCCTTAGGTAAAACTCTGAAAAAAAGCAATAAAAGTATATTCCTTAATGCATTACTTTTGTAAGTTAGATTACAGGTTGGTGTTTTGGTAATCGTTGTTTATGGTAAAAATTAAAAAAAAACATTTGTTATTGATTGTAAAAGTTCAGACATTTTATAATCATATTATCCTTAAACATTAGGTACTGCCTGGTGTTGCTGTATGTATTGCTGAAACTTTAATGACAAAACATATCGGTTGAGGGTAATTTTAAAACCGACGATTTTACGTTTGAATTTGTTAATAACCAAGACAGTATATATGGAATGATAATTAATTGATATATACAAACACCAATTATTTCACTATAGGCAAGTAACAATTAATCAGTCAATTTACGCAATAGAAAGTAAGTTGAAAATAGTTCAGCTCCTGTTCAATTTGTTATATCAACAATATTGTTTCACCTCTGATTATTGTGGGGTTCGCGTTGTTCGGTCTTTAGTTTTCAGTGAAGTTTTTTATTGCTGGTATATGTCTTTTCGTCGGTTTTCTTTTTGGAAATGGCATTATCTGCTCTTTTTTTACTTGAATTTTTGATTGACCCCTAAGTAAACTATCCCTCTGTTTTTGTACAAATCAAAACATACCTTGTTCATTTACCGAGTTCAAACTTCGTTCAACATCCCAATTCAAGTCATCATCTTTCCGATTTTGGAATCCACACAGGTTTCCTTCGAAATTACAGTATTCTATCACTGGCATATCTGCAAACAAAATATTTTACTGTTAAAATATATGGATTTATGAATAAGAACATCTTGTACTGATTCGAGCGGATTAAAGAAAACATATCATGCATATATCAAACATAAAACTGTAGATTCAATGTCGGTGCACTCCAGGAGGAATATACTTTGGACATGTTGAAGTAGGGGAAAAGCACTACATGATTTTTTTGTTTTTATGTTATTTTCATTAGCTTTTGATAAGCAAAGGAAAAATAATTAAATCGTTACGTGGGAAATGTCAATGTATATTCAAGGGATATATTTAGTACATTTTGTACTTTTTACCGTCCTCCAAGAAACATGGTCCCACCTTTCCTCCTATCGCCCCATTTTTTAAAAATCATTTGACATATAAGTTCTGATCAGTGTAATTGATTGGAAAGATAAAATTGAATGTCTTTTTTTTTTAAATGAAAAACGTTGAAATATATATAAACTTCTCTTAAAATATAGAACATTGCATTAGCAGCTGTTTAATCAATTTGTACAAACGATAGGGTTGTTTCATTAGAATTATATAGATAAACTTTTCGTCTATGTGTGTAATATATTCTCTCTATGACACTCTTTTTCAGCATTGAAAGTATTAAAACAAACAAGGAGTAAAGAACAAAGCAAATCATATCACATTTGTAGCTCATATACCATCATCACGATTGCACAGCGTCATACGTATTGAAAACAAATAGAAATACCCATGTAAATATATAGCAATTCAGAAATATAATATATAAATAATGCATATAGAGATGAGAGAGTGATAGAGCCTCTGTTGACCATGTTTCTCATGGTAACAAAAGAGTGATAGAACCTCTGTTGACCATGTTTTCTCATGGTAACAATCTGTTCTTTTACTCTTTAGTTATGTGCTATTTATTTAGTTATTAATTATACTGAATGTTGTGTTATTATGGACTTTTGAAAACTATAAATTTATAATTCAATTATTATTTGTTCAGTTGTTGATTTTTGATTGAGCTGTACGAGAACATTGTTACCCACATGTTAGCCATGTGTTAGAGTAGAATAAATCCTGCGATTTAACCAATAATACAAATTGTATTTTAGAGTAAAGTATAACAGCAGTAACATCAATATTTCAGAGCTTCCATTCCCAATCATGATTTCCTTGATAGAGGGTTGCATATGCCCCTGAATTGGGTGCATTTGTTTGCCCTTTTCGTTGCTTTCAGTAACGTTTACTGATCGGACATTTAATCTGTATAGAGATAATATATGGCTTCATTTAAAAAGTATGGGTCTTTATGTAAAATTACTGCAATACAGTAAATCTGCTTAATAATATAAACGGTACCAATTTGTACCGCACCAGATGCGTTTCGACAATCAATGTCTCTTTAGTGATGCTCGAGGCCAAAATATTTGAAAATTCAAAACTTAGTAAAAAGATGAAGAGCTATAAACCAAAAGGACAAAAAAGGTATAGCCAAAGCCGGGCAAGGAATCATAGCTTTGTATGAGGGAGATATATTCCTTAGTCTAAAATAATTTCCAAAATTCTATAACAGCAAATTTTAATAACACAAAATCCGTATTTTTATGCCAGTACCGAAGTACTTATGATACTTCAGGAGTGACAGGTTTATTCGGATTAAACAGCTGTTTTGTTATCATAGGGTTAACTATTTAATAATTGCACTGTTTGTACTAATACAAATGTTCAGCTTTGGGTGTATACGGTATGTATAGGGTTCATCAATGAGTGCACATCATTCTTAACAGCTTCTACTTACCAGCACTGCGTTTAAAATTTCTAATGCAAAATGGTGTTCTGTCAGACCACACAGCAAATCCTTTTTGGTCGACACAAGTAACTGCTGACGTTCCGAGCATTCTGTATCCTGGGTCACATACAAATACTACATTGTCACCAACAAAATTAGATGTTCCTATTATCACAGAGTGTGCTGGCTGTTGGATCTCTGTACAGGCTTTTCCTAGACAAAATTTTAAATAGTATGAAAAACACATAAATAATCGTCTAATAAGTAAATATATATCAAAACTTTAGGTAACATTGTTATGGATCATATGGGAAGATGCAATAATAATTTATCTAAATAACAAAAACTATATTTTCACATGCTTGGTCAAGACAAAATCTTTGTTTTATGCACCAATTTCATTGTGATAAATGCGTTTAAATGTATTGACACTGACTCAATATTTTCAAAATTTTTCGAATCTAAATTGATCTTACGAATCTCACCAAATAATATCAGCTAAATGGTAAAACAAATCTACTTTTTGTACAAGTACAATTAAGTCTTTTTTCTTCATAACCCTGATATTTCATCAAAATAGTAGAGATAGATGCACGAAAACTATTTTCCAATACACATTTGTTTCGAACAATGAAAAATGGTATTAACTAACACGAATATCGTTTGTCCAATGTTTGTCTGTTGTATACCTGGATTTGAGGAAATATTATGTGGACATCTGTATGCCACCTTAAGATTTTGTCTTGTCTTTACAAACTGTGATTTTCTACGGGTCATTGGTCAATCTTTATTTAGCACCGAAAAACTTACTTGCTCGACTGTTAATTGTGTACTCAATTGTATATCCCCCGGCTGTTCCAGTAGCATCTGATTGAAATAGTAAGTATAAGGAGTTGGACGACGATTCAAAAGGAATGGGTCGATTGCTTCCACAAAACTCTCCTATTGGCGTTGAATACTGATCTGGTCCATCGTATATCTATAACATGTCCAGTTAAAAACAAATTACAAACACTTTGGCAGCATTTTTAAAAAGAGTTTTTCTTTTTCTATTTTTCACAAGTATCCTAATTTGACTTAAACAACAAATGTGTGTTAATGAATAACTGTCATGGGGAACAACACTGATTGGTTGCAATAAAGAGTTAACGACTTGCTGATTTGTTATCCCCGACATTTTACGTAAATATCAAATTTAAATGATAATTCGCGGTACAACTTTTAACTATTATTTCATTTGATAAACAAATCCCATTAAAACTACCCAAGAGTTGACAAGGCTTTAGAAATATGGTAACCTGTGCCTCTCCTATTCGTCATTATACCCCTTTTTAGAAAGGAACAACTTCTTGGCTGTGCGAGATAAATACGAAGTCACATCCTGTCATTATCAGGCGTTTAACCTAATGTCTAATGTACAGAGGGTGTCACGTTTTTAATCAGAAGTAATATATTCTCTGCCTTGATCTATCGCGTTCACAATGCAGATCTCAATTGATACGTTACGAGCGTGCATGTTTACATTATACAGACTTCATTAACAGAGCTCCCAAAGCAAAAAACTGATCCAGCAGGGTTATGAGGATGAACGACTAAAGTCGATACTACACAAATTTAACGGTAAACCTCACGAAATGTTTGACTGATATGATTTGTCTGTGTCTTGACTCACGAAAAACGTGTTTGCTCAGTCTTATATCTTAAGATATCAGAATATTCATCTAATTTGTAAGTTTACCGATTGTCTCCTATTCTATCGTGACTTTTGTACTGAGTCAGGATTCGTATGATGTAAACATAGAAGAAGACGCAAAGTTTCACTTCGTAAAAGTTCATATCTTTATTTGTTCAAACAATCTTTTGAAATAATTGATTTAAATCTACTAATCACATACGGTTTTTAGAGTAACAAAAGTCCGCTAATCTACTTTAACCTTTAACTCGAATAACTTTATTTTGACTTCAAATCATAGTCCAACATAAAAAAAAACATTTGTTTTCTTTACACTCTCTGTACTTACAGTTAGTATATCATACAAGCATCCTCGACTATATTCAATATCAATCCTTGAAAAGGCCAATGAAATGGTCGTATTGGCGTCAACTGTCTCTATTTTGTAATCACATGTCATGTAGTTGTCGTAATTTGATAGGTGGATTTTGCCGCTAGTTCCCGGCATGCCCATGTAATACTTAACACCGCATTTAGCATCAGCTGTGAAAAAAACAATAGAAAGTCTTTTATATTGTATCGGATGAGTCAGTCGCATATAATATTGATGGTTGGCGTATACGATAGACTGACATATGTAACTATGATATAGAATAATGTAGGTTAATTTAGCTATTACCATTCAGCTCCCATTTGTTTTGACAGAGCAAATTGCTTCTAGTTTTGTCGTTAAAAATGCTTACGCAAAGCTACCCTTAAACTATTCCGAAAATAATTATTTCAACCACACATTATCAATTCAAAAGCTTATTTATATAATGAGTGGAGGCTGTCCTTTGTATCGTTTTATTGTTAAATTTTGCAATGCTAAATGAGTAAAGCACTGGAGGTTCATGTTTTTTTTTCTATGAATGGGCTCATCTCTAAAAAATGCTACAAAATAAAAGCGAAAATACATTAAAATTAGCATTAAGAGCAAAAAAATATAGTTTCAAAGATTTCAAAAATACTTTTGCTTATTTAACCTAAACAGTATAAATGTAACCTATCAGCCTTCAGTACTTGCTTGATATAATCTGTTTTCATCCATACATGGAATATACTTAGCCTGATTATATAATACTCACTACTGCAAAGTTCGTTGTTGCATGAACGAAGTTCTTGGCCTGGTCCTTTACAGGGTGCCCCGTCACCTATTGGAGGTGGATTATTACACTGTCTATAACGGTACTGTTCGCCACCACCACATGTCCTTGTACATTGTCCCCAATCTGTCCACAGACCGTACTGACCATCAATATCTGCAAGATATATATTTTTTTGTTTTAAGATTGAAATAAGAAACTGTGACTGCAAGTTTTGAAGCTAGGTCTTTAAATGAAATATAATCTTTTCTTACAATCAACACACATGAAATGTAATTCTGTGCTTTTTTCTTCTCGTGAATGAATTGTAAGTAATATTGAAACTTTGTGGAGTTGAGATGTACAGTATGACATTTTGGCGAGGGAATTTGAAGAACGGATAGTTTCGTATCCCATTATGACATATGACGTAATCATTTGTAGCATGAACAGTTTCGTATTCAGGTGAGCAGTAATTTTATACGAATCCGAATCAAAAATTGCAAATGCATGCTTTTTTTTAATTAATCATTTCATCGGTAATTTCTATGCTTTATCACACCGTGAAAATATAGTCTGGAAATGAGAATCGATGCAAATGTTAGTATCATGTCATCTTTTAGGGCAAAAGCATATACAAACCATATATGTAACTACTAGCTACGATGTATTTATGTTGTTTATACCAGAATTACCTTTCTGAAAAGAGTACACACTAATTCCAGTCGATCCACCTTTTCCTCTGTATCCACAATCTGTAGAAGGGCCATACTGACTAAATGACTTCACTGCATTTGGTCCGGTCAAACACATTCCAAAGTCAAACAACGCAAATACTGTATATCCATTAATAGATGCTACATCAGCACATTTGCGAACAGCTGCTGTCCGGGCTTGATAGTTGTCTGCAAGACCAGGGTATTTACCCTCCACAGACGGGATGGATAAATTGCCCAAGTTAATTTTCCAGCAACCTAAGTATGATGCCGCTGTGAATAAATGAAACTTTTACAGATATGCAAACTTTGCAAACTCCTACGAATCTGAAGGTTATTGAATTCCTAACGAAACTTCTTATAATTATTATTCAGTAATTGGTGTTTAGTTATGTGTATACAATATGTTGATAGCTTCATGTTTTTTCTTTAATTCAATTACATATTATACTTAAATTAAAGACGAGATATAGTGAGTGCGTTACTTAGCTAGTTAAGTCTCCCAAACGAAGTTTGGGAAGACTTATTGTTTTTGCTCAGTCCTTATTATTATTATTATTATTCTTCCGCCGCTTTTAAATTTGAACTTGTCCGCACCCGTTCTCCAAAACCGCTTGTCAGATTAACTTAAGGTTTCACAATATGTTAGACTAACATGTCTTGTGGTGCAATCAGGGTTTTGTTTGTGCAATGGGGTTTATAAAGGGGTATTTTGAGGGCCAAAAAGAAAAGAGGGTTTTACTATAGAAACCTATGGGATTTTATTTTTTTAAATTTTCAAATGATTATAAATTGAAAACCGTTTGTGATATATACAATCTTTTTAATTGAAAATGTTCTAAATGATAAAGCCCATTAAATGAAATACAGGGTTAGTCCCCAGGGGTCATCCCGACCCCCTGCCATTTGAGAAAGTTCAAATATCTTGTAAATGGTCGAGATCCCCACCCCTAAACCATATATATTCTGGTTTGTCATGATAAAGCACATCAAATGAAATACAGGGTTAGTCTCCAGGGGTCACCTCACCCCATGCCATTTAAGAAAGTTCTAATATCTTGTAAGTGGTCAAGATCCCCACCCCTAAACCATATATATTCTGGTTTGTCATGTCTCGAACATTTGAATGACGTATACGGTCAGTCCCCAGGGGTTCCCCCCACCCCCAATGTTCTAATATCTTGTAAATGGTTGAGATCCCCACCCCTAAACCATATATATTCCTGTTCGTCATATATATTCTGGTTTGTCATGCTAAGATGGTTTGAATGATATACAGGGTTAGTCCCCAGGGGTCATCCCGACCCCCTGCCATTTGAGAAAGTTCTAATATCTTGTAAATGGTCGAGATCCCCACCCCTAAACCATATATATTCAGGTTTGTCATGCTAAGATGGTTTGAATGATATACAGGGTTAGTCCCCAGGGGTCATCCCGACCCCCTGCCATTTGAGAAAGTTCTAATATCTTGTAAATGGTCGAGATCCCCACCCCTAAACCATATATATTCTAGTTTGTCATGTCTCGAACATTTGAATGACGTATACGGTCAGTCCCCAGGGGTTCCCCCCACCCCCAATGTTCTAATATCTTGTAAATGGTTGAGATCCCCACCCCTAAACCATATATATTCCTGTTCGTCATGTAATGAACATTTGAATGACGTATAGGGTCAGTCCCCAGGGTTTCCTCCCCACCCCCAATGTTCTAGTATCTTGTAAATGGTCTAGATCCCCACCCCTAAACCATATATATTCTGGTTTGTCATGCCAAGATGATTTGAATGATATACAAGGTTAGTCCCCAGGCATCACTAATGCATATAACTTTACTGGACCAAACCAATGTTCACTGGACGTTGCCCAATGTCAGGTGACCCTGGGAATTACGAATTATGGGAGCTTCGTTTGGGAGACTTCGTAACAGCATCCTGTTACAATCATTTCTTGTTGTGTATTGTAATTGCGTCTATCTCTTAAGCTAAACATCGGTAAACTGCAGATGCCTACAAATCTGCACAAATAAGAAATGGTTGGGCGATGTTTGCAGGGATTTAAAGTGCAATTTTGAAAAAATTATGTCTTTTCTTGTTCTTATTCTTGGTTTACTGACTCAGTAGTCGATTTAATTGTTTGAAAATTCTTCGGTAACATCGAAATGATGGTCATAGTAAATAATAAATGTTGAAATGTCTGTAAGTTGCAGTGGGCCGACTACTATTGTTACCGTAAGATTTTGCCTGAATAGAAACACAAGGCGAAAAACATACACGTGTACGTGTAACTAATGAGAATGTGAATAAGGCTTTCAACAGTATAAACTATATATCATTATTTTTTCATGAAAGAAATCTTCTTGTCCATGAATACATATCTATATAAATATTGGTTTAAAGAAACCAACCAAGTAGCTAATTTAATAAGTACAGGATCTAAATTAACTAGCGCTTTCACTGCTTTCACAGATCTTCAGGTACAGAATTTATGTGTACATATAAAACAAATTTTAAACATACGTTTGCAAGGTTGTCCACATATATCAGTCTGAGAGTTAGGTCCAGGACAGTATTTGCTGTTCAAGTTGAAACAGAATCTATATCTTTTACGTTGACACTGCAGATCACATGGCGTATAAAATGACCAAGAAGACCATCCGATGGGTGCCGGTGTCGGCCTTTGTGTTGGAGATAGCGTTGGTTGTAATATAGGCACCAATGTTGTTTTCAAAGTGGTTGGTGTTGGAGGCTGTTGTGTTGGTTTCATTGTCGGCTGGGGCGTTGGTGGTTTGTGTGTCTGTTGTTGTATTGTTGTCTTTTTTGTTGTTGATGATTGTTTTGTTTCAGTTGTTGGTTTGGCTGGTAATGGTGGTGTCTGTTGTTTGGTAGTTGGCTTGGTTGGTAATGGTGGTGTCGGTTGTTGTGTAGTTGGTTTGGTTGGTAATGGTGGTGTTGGTCCTTGAGTAGTTGTCTTGGTTGGTAATGGTGGTGTCGGTTGTTTGGTGGTTGGTTTAGTTACTAACGGTTGCGTCTGAGGTGGTAATGTTGGTTTTGAGGTAGTTGGAAGAAACTGGTTAGGGATACTTATATCTGCAATATTAATTATTCTATTTACATTTGGTAACGAAAACATTGATTATGACAAAACAAAGTTTACTTATTGCAGTTTACAAATTGATGTTCAGTAGTATAAAAAGTATAACATAACAAAAATACCGAACTCCAAGGTAAATTCACAAACTGACTACATCAATCGTCAGACTTTATCAACCAAAGGAACGAATAGTAAACAACTGTCATTTCCTGACTTGAGCGAGGCATTTTATTGCTTTTTGAAGTATTTTTATAAATATGATCCAACTCAGGTCTTAATTATGCATTTTATATTTTTCTATTTTGAAAGTGTCTCTTTTGTTTCGATTCGATGAACGTATTGGTCTATCCTTGATTGTCCCAGTTATTGATCAGAAGACTTCTAGGTGTTGTGAAATCAAGATATGTGCATCCAACGAAGATAAAAGATAAATCCTTGATTTTAATAACAGAACCCAAACTACTTCGTATGACCATTGTTCTGGAGAGGGGGTGATTTTAGTATTGTTTTGTAAAGTTATCAAAGAGGTAATTTCAGTAATGAGTTGAGATGAGTAATTTGGTTGTGTAAAAAGAATTGATTTTACCAAATACCTGAAAGTACCCAAATACATCAGAGAAGCATTCTTATGTTATACATTTGTCTATAAGGAGAGAAAAATAGCATTGTTTTGCATGCTTTAAGTAATGACAGCAAAAAGTAACATATAGTAGCATACATCTTTGGTTGTCTCGTAAGGTAATAATGCCACACTATCATTTTATTGAAACTTAATAAATCGCTAAAATGAAAGACAGAAAATTTTTATGAAATCATCTCTGTTGTGTGTGTGTTTGTGTGTATGAGAGAGAGAGAGAGAGAGAGAGAGAGAGAGAGAGAGAGAGTTTAACAGTATGATGGCGCCTACCACATCGATAGAGTGTATTGATCCTCTTTATATCTAGATCACTAAGTCCATCTCGTTGTCCGATTTCAGCATTAGTATTTCTGATGGGCTGTATTGTTGGATTTCCATTTTTACTGAATGAGTATTTTGAATAATGCATTATACTACCGTAGTCGTATTGCACACCAAGAGTATCAACTTCATCTACTGATAGTTTGTCAAAGTTAAATGCTTTTCCTGAAACAAAATTATGGTATTGTACAGTTAACCTTTATATAAAGGCCAGTATAGGTAGTCTTGGAAAATCAACAAAATATGATAAGAGTTTTTTTTAATTCTTTATAAAAAATTTATTCATATCGTACGATTTAAAAAAGATTCTAAACAGTGCTGGTTTAAAAGTTTGTAAACAAAATATTGTTTAAACTTTTCATATTTTGTAAACATTATTCACGAAAAGGCACTGTGGTGCCTAGAAAGAATATGAAAATTGCGAAATAGAACAATGAGGTATATGAAATGCATTTTAAAAAATAAAAATGAAAAGATGATTTGCTTTTTAAAAAAAATCATTGAAAATAAGTTATTGCAGGAGGGTATATAATAAGATTCATTCAGATGTTATTTTGTTGTCTGAAGTTCGAGACGTTTTCAATTTTTTTTTTAGGAAAGTTCATTATATAATCATGATAATAACATAAACGGTACCAATTTTTTGCACCAGATGCACTTTTTGACAATCAATATCTCTTCAGTGATGCTCGAGGCCAAAATATTTGAAAATTTAAAAAGATGAAGAGCTATAAACCAAAAAGGACAAAAAAGTACAGCCAAAGCCGATAATTTCTGTTCAAGATGGTATGCTGTTTGTATATTTTGATTTCTAAAATTTTGTAGTATTGATATAAAAGAAAAAATACAAAGGGTAACGTAATGTTTCTATTTTTATTATTGAGTTTTGACTTCATATATGTTCGATGTTTCCGATGGTGCTATCATATAGATAATTATTTTGTTAGTTTTTCAGAATGCAAAACCGGACGCAAGGAAAAATCATTTAAAAGGAAAATAGCTGTTCAACTAAAGATTATTGCATTTCTGCTTGTCATGATTTTATTTATTTTCAAATGTCACTATAGTTCTTTCTGTTTATTTTTGTAATTATATTACAATCAGAAACTATTCATGATGACTTATAAGATAACTCCTGTATTTGCTTTCCTATCATCATGTATAAAATGTCAACAATTACTTGAAGATTTAAGTATTTGCTAAATATGGATGTTTGGATCATTCTTTGCACACGTTATCAACTTATCTGCCGCGTTCATATTTATTTATAGATTTCAACCAAGTTGTTGTCACATTTAACCTATGTTTATATTTGTACATGGCGTATTCTTGAATATCATGACCACTTTAATCCCCAATAAAGATAAGCATCCAGTTTGTGTAAGTTTTTGTTTATGAAAACGTAAAACACAAAATGATTATCTTTGCAGTATGTTTCCTCATGTCATTTTGTTATTATCAAAATAGCCTTATCAGTATTTTTAAAGGCAGCATAGAAGCTAGACAAGTACTATATATAAATACAAAAAAAGGCTAACAACTTTAATGGTTGCTTTTTGTAACGTTTATGCACAGTAACGGTCGTGTAGCGAATATATTTCTTTATAAAAGCCCGACATTTGAAAAACAACCATTTTAAGAAAAACAGATTTAATTTATAAAGATTTAGGACCAATGTGTGCCTTAATTTATTTTAGGTGTAGGGTCGAAAGCTGAAAGTTGTTAAAATCTACTGGAATTTTAATATTGAAGGGTCCAAATAATTCATTTTAAGGATTTTAAAATAATTGAGAGTTTTTAAACAATATCGAAAATCACATTATATGTTTTTTGTAAAATTTTGCATTGTAGGACGCGCTTGACAAACATGAATTGGTTTGTATCTGAAAGACAAAACATAGCTAATTCTAGTTTTGGTTAAAAATTTCTTTCTTATATATGCACATTTTCGATAATAACTGAAATTTACCAAAACCCATAATATTGCGGTTTTGAACCGTCTTTGGGCATTTACTATGTAGCAACATGTTGCAAAATACGCCATAATATTTCTAGAAGCTCAAAGTGTACATAATGAAGCTTGAAAATGTAATTTTCGGGAATATTAATAAGATCCTTGAGTGAAATGAATTCAGACACAATGGCCGTACCTATTTCAATAGTATTAAATAGTGCAATTTAAATTATAGTTTCCTTCTGAAAAATCTTTTTAAAATATATTATTGAATCTTTGCTGGTCTTTTGTTCCCTTTGTTTGTGAAAAAAAACATTCTATTTAGTTATCTGCATACCTTTTTCTATATTTGCAAAAATGACTTTTACCCATGAGTCACGATCAGGTCTACTTTGTTCATGCCAAAATCCCAATGCGTGCATCATCTCATGAATTGCAGTGCCCATCCTTAAACAAGGACTCATTAATGATATATCTTGCGGTCCTCCCTGTCTTCCGATATTTGAATAACACCTGTAAAATTAATATAAAGCATATTTGACTTCCTTCCTACATCATGAAAAAGAACAGAATATTAAGTTTGAAGACACAAAGGGACAAATAATAAGGATAAATCACATGGTGGATATGTTTATGTTGACCAGTCGATATCAAAAGTATATCAAACGTTAGCAAATTTCACTGGCCTAAAAATTACAAAATGAAAAGATATCAGCGAAGAAAGATACTGAAAATGATATAAAAGCAAAAGTACTATTGAACATAAGAGTTGTTCATTTGTTCAATTCTTTTGGATATAAGATATAAGAAGATGTGGTATGAGTGCCAACGAGACAACTCTCCATCCAAGTCACAATTTGTAAAAGTAAACCATTAAAGGTCAAAGTATATGTTTCTTTAAACTTTCGTAAATAATACGAAGTATATTTAAGAAGTATATTTAAAACAAAATCTACTTTCGATCATCAAATTTTATTTTCAAAATAATATGCACAATCCTAACCAGATTTCATTAGAAAGATTTCACGAAAACAAAATGAAAGATAAGAGTCAACATGAATCATATGAATATTGAAGAATAAAGAATATTTTCACATGTATGTACTTTTCTAATTCTTACCCAGATATGTGTTTGAATATAATGTAATCATACTGATCTGTCCTTGGTATAAATCGCAGACAAGTTTTTGCATGGTATTGTGATATTGCTTTGAGAACCTCTTGTCTTGCATCAGGAGCTAAAAATATACACAACATACCTTGTCATCGAAGAAAATACTATACATTTTCATTGACCAAAAAGTAATGTGTATTGTCAACACATTTGAAAACCGTTTTTTTTTTTTAAATTTTCCATTGATTAATGTCAGCTATCAAGTAACAAGAGGGTATGTGGATAAACTAGAGGTTATTTATATTACAGTTAAAATGGTATATCTTTGTCATATTACATAAATGAGGATGTGGATGGGGTTTACAGAATAGAGAATAATGTGCAAAAAGTGCAGAATAAAGGGTCCAAAACATAAAGAATAGAGAAAAATAGGGTAAAAAGTTAAAGAATAGAGAATAATGGGGTACTAAGATATAAAGAATCGAGAATAACAGGCAAAATTTATAAAGAGTAGAGAATAACAGGCAAAATTTATAAAAAATAGAGAAAATAGCATAAAAGATTAAAAATACAGGAATGAAGGACCCCACCAGACCCTCATAAATGTATGTGATAAACTACTTTATAAAACTATCAAAATGGGCTATGCAAAGCTATATCCCTAAAGGATCATATACGGAAGAAAACATTAAATTTCAGAGCCATTCGACGTCATTTGGCGAAACATTTTGCGGTCTTTGTTTTCGTATTAGGAAACATCATTAAAAACATAAATTCTTTGATTCTTTGTGCAAGATAATGATTCTGTAACCATTGAAAACGCTTAGAAATTAAATGGAGGTAAACTACTTTAAACAAGGTGTTGCAAAATGTGTATGTACGAAAGTATTCCACATATATAACTTACCAAAAGACGGATCGAAGGAGTACGGTATGACGCGAGTATTCCACAGGTATGTTTGGTCTCTTACTGCTGTTCTGTGCTGTTCGAGAAGGGAAAACAAGTTTGATAAAAAAAACCTCAAATTGAATATGATGCTAAAATAATTCAATGCACAGCTAACTTTTTTTGACATATCAATCAGATTGGTATATTTCTTCTGATTTCTTTGCAGCATGTTTACTTATAATGTTTAAACTGCTATCTTGTATAACTTATTTATCTATTGTTTATTATTTATCTGCTGTTATAATTTCTTCAATTTCGTAATTGATCTGGTCTTCCAAATGTTTGATTCGAACGTCACTGATCAGTCTAGTGTAGACGATACTCGCCTCTTGTGTGAGGTCAAATTATTAGCCTGGTACCGCTGATGACTTTAAAGACAATAATACAATTAGATAGATGGTAAAAATGCTGTACAAAGATATATAGTTCTCTCTTTGAAGACCGGCAAAAGAAACGAGAAATATAATATATTAACGAGTATTTTTTTCAATTTATGGCATATGTAACACTGAAATATTTCAAATACTTGATTTTTGTTTATTACATATTTGTATAGCCTACATTTATCTTTATATTGTACTCACTCGTGGATTATATCCCTTTATGTCACCTTGATAAAGATTTAAACCCATTCCTGAAATCGAAAATTAAAAACAGTTAGTAAATTATTCCAATTCAATCAAAACTAATTACTAAAGGTTGTTCTGCTTTATATCTATGAACACACATTCATCTCAAAATATTAGGATTAGAATCATTTATCGTACGCTAGCAAATCCCTGATTTATATAGTCACGGCACCAAACATAAAATTTTCGATAATTGATGTTAGTCATGGTTTCTTGCGCGCTGTATACTGAGTCTCTTGTTAAGAGTCTTTGCTAGGCATTTCGCTCAATATTCTGTCGACATGCATTTAAAAAAATATCACATTTAAAAAGAACTACACGACAAAAAAATAAGCTTCAAAATAATGAGTATCCTCAATCGTTTAAGATAGCAATAATGAGTCTTACCATAATTAACCTGATAAATATAATCGAATATAGTAGAGTCTTTCCTACTATCGAGCCATCTTGTTATTGACTGTAGTTTATGTTGCAGGTAGTTATCTGAAAAGTATAATGGCAAATTAATAGTCGTCCAAAAGTGAAATTAAGATACTGCCGGGTAACTTTTGTTTGAGACGTTTGTTTGTTTTTTCCTGTTTGATCATATAGCTCTTCAGCTGTTTCGGTTCTTGGCATTCAAATATTCGGCTACTTAGCGTTCCTGATGAATGTGATTCCAGGAAAGCGCTTCGGACGCATGAAATTTATATCTGGTTGTTTTCATTGTTTGTTTTCTTTCCAAAGTTTCTGAAACTTAAATGAACATTGTTACTTTTGAAAATCTAAACTTGAAAAACATTTGAAAATTTTATGTATCCAAGAATTTTTGATTTAAAGTTACCATATACAATGTAAGTCTTTATCCAATGTCGAAGGCATTACGGTGATCAGTATTAATTTATAAGCAAATTATCATCCATTTGATCTTTGTTGTATAGTGTATCATACAATGTACCTAATATTGTTTTGTGTTACTGAAATTAGTATATAGAAATGTTAGACTGGCATTGCAAATTATTTACCTAACGTTGAATTTCCCGAGAATCTTGAATCTGTGACCTGTAAAGAAATATTAAATTAGATAAAAAGAATGCAAATAAAAATATTATTAAAGTAAAGCATGCAACATTCCCTGTTGTAAGATCGTACTTTCTCTCCACCTGTCTCTCTTATTGGACTGTTTTTCGACATGAGCTTACATCTGAGATTGAAATTATTCGACTGTACAATACATTCTACATCGAATGTAATCAGACATCTCGTATGTGTGCCTGTTATGATATTCTAATATGTTATTTCTAAGTAAAATTTAAGGACATATAATTATGCGACAATGGTATTTATTAACTTTATTTTATGCAAGTAATCGATCGTGCCCAACAAACTAATTCCTATCCTTTAATCGACAGAAAAGTGAAATTAAATCAAAAATGTTATCTTTGTTTTAGAAATATTTTGTAAAACCCAATCAGATAAAAGTAGCTTAAGTTAATTACAACTATTCAAATAATAAATAATAAAGTGATATTTTCATTAAAATAAAAGTTTTGCGTATAAATGATAATTTCCGCTTGGCCGGCAGTAAAGCAAGTAACTGCAGCAACCAATCAGACAATGTATCAAAGAAAAATCCAAATTATAAGTGTATCTTTTAATTAAAGTATTTCAAAACAGCAATATAATTTCAACTTTATGAAAAGTGATAAATTAATGCAGATGAACTCAAACGATAACAATATTATCATATGAATCTTTATAAAGAGCAAACCTGCAATGATGTTCCACAAATTATGCAAAATCCAAATACTAAATTTTCAAGGTTCATTTTGTTTGTCTATCAATTTAAAGTGACAGAAATGAGGGAAAAGGTTCAATTTTATACCGCGATCCTGACGTAAACTTGTCAAATTATAATCTCATTTATAAGGGTTTAACTTGATTTCAGTTTCCACATATCAATAAGCATTACTTTCCTTCTATGACAAATTGTTTGTCAATTAACCGGGTGTTTATGTCTCATATCTTTGACTTTCCATTGGTATCCATACATGCCGAATGATATCATTCACACCCTATATCGGAAACGAGCAAACACAACATTACCGTCATACAACTTTCCCTTAAGATTATCTTATTATTGACATGGAAAGCTACAGAGGTATATTCTACTTTTGCAACAAAAGTGCATCATCATACTATCACGTGCACCAAGCAATTTTTTTTTTTTTAAATAATGAATATCTATATTATCATATTTGAAAGTATTGTACCATTATGAACGAATATGATAACACATTGAAATATTGTTACTTACATTTTTGTCTTCTTAATCGATTTCGGATATTTGCACACCGGTTAACTACTGTTCTGTTGCCTTCATTCCTAAATTTAAAGTAATTGAACAAGAATGAAAAATTAACATTTCTTGACATACGAAAGGAAAATACAAATACGATGTCATTTTACATGTCACACTAGTGCAATGATCGCAATAAAAATGTTAAACATAAAGAGCGCAGATTTTTTTTTCAATCAATCAATTTTGTTCTTTTCTAGTTTTTTAGAAGTTGAGTTTAGGTTCTTCTCTCTTTGCAATAATCAAAACAGGATGCATCTGCCATTGGTGCAATTAACTAATTTAAAATGGTAGCAAACTCTTAATCATAACTCTTCATAAAGGCAGTATCCCCAAATTACTTCATAAAGGCAGTATCCCCAAATTACTTCATAAAGGCAGTATCCCCAAATTACTTCATAAAGGCAGTATCTCCAAATTACTTCATAAAGGCAGTATCCCCAAATTACTTCATAAAGGCAGTATCCCCAAATTACTTCATAAAGGCAGTATCCCCAAATTACTTCATAAAGGCAGTATCCCCAAATTACTTCATAAAGGCAGTATCCCCAAATTACTTCAAATATCTCGTGTTCGTGTACAGAAAAACATGGCAAAGAGAATGACAAGACCTACAACGGAATAAAGGCAAGATGGAGAAACTGATGTACATGCTCTACTTACAATTGTTATTCTCCTAGATCTTATATATCTTTTGCATGACCAGGAACAGTCTCGACAGAGCGGTTGGAGCAGAGAAAGCGTGCCTTTTCGAAGCCCCTTATCCAACTCCCTACTCTAAATATGATTCATTTTCAATTATAAAATAGTCCGACGATACCAAAATCAAAACCCATAATTCAAAGAGAGACCGATACAATCAGGTAAAAACCACTACAAAAACAAAAACCACAGCCTACAAAACGCTACATAACAAAACAAGAGACAGAGCAACACGAATCCCACCAAAAACTTGTAGTTATATCAAGTGCTCTGGAAGGATTATCGTATCTTGCTCCACATGTGCCACCCGTATATATACATGTAAGCTGTTGTTTTTTTATCTTTCAATTTATCTTTAATTGCCCTAAACATATGTTTTAAATGTTTGTTTTGAATAGAGGGTACCTGATGAAAAAAATTACAAAATTGCACACTTGCTTCATTCAAAACCAAATAGTTTAAATAATTTACACGATATAGTTCAAGGTATTGATATTAGGGAATTTCAAATTTGCCGAAAGGGTAGAGTCTATTACGATAAAGGTTGACAAAACAAAAACAGGACAATATCAAAGACAAAAACTGAACAAAATACGTGACGTTCGTCAATACTGTACAAACATAAGTGTGGCCTAAAATATTCTTTACAGAAGTCAAATCGGACCTCCTCATTTTAAAAACGCTATGTCATTACAGAAGTGTATGAAGGAAAGAACGTAGATATGAATTTATATAGATAACTTTTTCGGAAGTTCAAAAGAACAATATATTAATGACGTTGTTGAGGTGTTAGACACGCATGCACACTATTCACATGCAAATTGTCGAACGTAGACTTTTGGGTAAACAGTTAAATCCGTCAAATATCTACTGCTATTTGTACTCAAACGGTTTTTTTTTCAGAACAAATTCATACGATTTTAACTTTAAGTATAAACATTTTTCAGCAGAATTTAAAGGAGATATTACAATACAAATTTGTACTTTCTACGTGTCCCCTTGTCAATGTTGCATACCAATGATGTTATGCTTGAACATTCAGTTTTATACACAAAACTGTTTCGGAATTTGTCTTAGAAATAAAAGAATCATTACAAGGTTTGCTAAATAGTGGGATAACACATTTGAAATTGTATAGTTTTATTGGCGCGTAGTGGGTTTTTGTTTTATCTTTTGCTTCATTTTCTATTGTTAAGCGGGATCTAAATCCACTTGTTTTTTTTTTGTTTTTTTTATTTCAAATCAAATTGTCTTTGGCATTTGTGTGTGTGTGTGGTTTTTTTTTTTCTTCGTTTTGTTGATTCTAAAAGTTTACTTGAGTCTGTGTGTTTACGTATTACCTGATGTGTGCATAGATAAAACTAACCCTTCTTAGTACAAGAACTATATATCATAAAAAAACAATATTAGATTTTGTTTTAAATCTATAAAGTGACTTGAAAGTTTTTTTTGTGAATCCCATGATGTATTGGGACTATCTAAATGATACAAAATTATATCGAAAAAAGTGCCACTTTTAAATGCTGAGAAGTAAAAAAATAATTCATTTGTCTTAGTTTTAAATTCCATCAATATCATATTTGATTATGAAAGTTGTGGATCTCTTTTTATATAACATTGATATCAGAGACATATATTCTACAGCGTTACACCCTGCATCGGTTACTATACATGTCTCTGTTGATATGTATATAATTTATTATACTTTAACGGTTTTATTTTTCATTATCATCAATACTATAAATTAAAAAGGAACAATCTTTAATTGATATTTTTATTGGATTGATTGATGATTGCTTAACGTCCAGTGGCAAATAGTTCATGCATGCATGTTCAGGACGATTTTGTATTTTTTATTGGAGGTTTGTCAATGATCTTCATGTAAAATTTTGAAATAATATAATGAACTTTTTAAAGGCGGATTGAAGAATATCGAAAAATAAAAGTAGAATTGGTGATTTTA